ATACTTTTCTTGTAATGTTTTTGTTTCCTCTTTGACTTTTTTTAATGTATTTTGTAAATCACATAGAACGTTTGGTGGTACTGACGATGTTCTTGTCTTATTCATGGTTGAGTTTAAAATATATTTTCTTGATTTGTTATTTATGCATTGTATAATATAACTCCTCTTACCATTCTATGATCCGTATTAAAATTTAGTTTATTTAGTACTTCAATATTTTCAAATATATGTTTTTGATTTGTAAGTATGAATTCAATTGCATTTTTATTTCTGCCGTTTGGTGCTAGCCATGTCTACTTTCTCGATTTACGTTTTTTGAAAAAACAAATTCATCTTTGTTTGATTTGCTACCAACTTTAGCATTGAAATCTCCCATGATGATTATGTTCTTTTTCTTATTTTGCATCAACTCAGTCATATCTCTGTAAAATCTATCATTCGCAATTTTTGTATCTTTCTCTCCTGGTGCATGTACTTAAATAATCGATCAATGTTGTTTAGATTCTGTTAGATATATATTGAGTAAGGCGATTCTATCTGATATTTCTTGGAAATTTATTATTTTATCTTTTAAGTATTTATTTATTTAAACATACCAGAGGGAGACTTTGTACAAAAGTCGATTGCTGGGTACCTCTGTCCCATTCGTGTTTCTACCATGAAGCAGTTGTGTTTGCATGGCTGTGTTTCGGTTTGAAGGGTGGGATATGGCGCGAATTTACTGGGTACAGAGGAATAACATCTGAGTCCTCAGTAATGGCAACGCATGGGGGTATCATGGGCGAAACAGTATACTCTGTTATGTCCATGGTATTGTTCATGTCTATAGGCGACGGTTACCACTTTCCATCAGGTGGACCGTCAGATTGTTTGCCATTCTAAGTTGTATAAAAAAAACATATTTAAACATACTCATGATAAAATTTTTAGCGTATACCTAGTTAAACATATTGTAATTACAATTTTAACTTCGTGAGGTCATATCAGATAAAATATATATATATATATATATATATATATATATATATATATATATATATATATATATATATATATATATATATATATATATATATATATATATATATATATATATATATACATATACTTTATTACATTATTATTAAAAATTATAATAATCATTATAATAAGTAAATTTAGATAGATAGATACTCTTTATTGTTTCCTCCAAAAGATTACAGTAGTAATTATAGATACAAACACATTTACTTAATTATTTCACATTGCTGAAGTATAATTTAGACAATAATAGCCAATATATTGATCATATTATCCCTTGTTTATGCTTCATCAGTCTTGTCAATTTCTAAATTCAACAAGCCGCCATGCGGGATCGTATTATTGCTTTTTTATTAGTATTTTTTTTAACTAACCCCCACCCGCTTAGCTGTTTTTGCTGCGCGTGCTCCGTGGGATAGATAGGTCGCGTTGTGTCGCTGTTTATGCTGGTATTAGCATAATGCAACTTTTATACATCGCGGTTCCATTGTTCCCTAATTGTCGCCGAAATTTATATCTGTATAAACAATGTGTTTAAATAAAAAATACGACCATACTGCGCAATCGTAATATCCTATTGTCTCTAGAATTAAACTGAAGCATGCGAATTTTAATATTAACTACTTACTAAACAACCAAACCAAAGGTCACGGATGTTAAGAGTATTGACAATAGTACATTTGCATTCGAATTTCCGGTATTGTACCCAAATTATCATCAAATAACGGTTGTATGACCGCCGATATGACGACAACAGTGTTAGATTAGATGTAATAGATATTGCAAATCACAGTTTCATAACTGTCTGTCCAAACCAGTTATCATAGGGTTAAATAGCAGTTATGCTCGTTTATCTAATTACATTGTCAATTATTGTTATTTTCATACATTTGAACCATCAACAAAACTTGAATATTTATACAATTTTAAAAACTATAATTGGCTAATGATAGATATGTATTTGCTGCGAAATATTCCCATGCACATGACTACTGTTACGCATATTTATTATTAAGGCGGCACTTGGCAAGCGAGCCGTCATCGATAGTATGCAAATGTATGTAGGTACTTGAGTGTTGAGGGCTCTTTACTGACGAAAGCGGTTTTGACATTTGCTGCCATTGTTTTTCTGCAATGGAATTCGTATTTAGCCAGTAAATTTTCTCACGAAATTTACTGAAAACAAGTCTGTAGTGAGACTGTCTACGTGATTTTTTAATAACATTTTCTATTTTATAATTTGTGAACTTTTTTAGTCTAATAATTTTTATTTTTTAATGTGGTAGGATTTCTCTTAGAATTCCAGCTGTAGCCATCATACCATAAAGAGGGGTTTTGTCAATAGTTGTCTAGTTGCCTATATGGTTTTTTATTACCAATATTTTATAACAAAATCAGTGCAACTGTTTATAAATAATTTGAGATAGATATAGATAATAGCATATCTTTTTATTTGTTTTGTTTAAATAGTTTTTTTATATATGAACGTAGTCTAGTCTATTGACATCTCTATATATAAAAAAATATTTGTCATATGAAGTCAACATAGTATAAACAAACATAGCATAAATTAGTCAACAAACATAGTATAGTAAAAAAAAATCTGTCTCTTAATGTTTTTCTCTTCGTCAGTCTGATTTTTTCTTTACATAACTGAACCGCTATTTCAACTCTCTTAGTAATCGTAGAAGATTTTTTCAAGATATTAACATGTTGATAGAACCGCAATTACCCTTTATCTTCTATTGATTTGGTGACAATTCGTATGTCCCGTATATCGTTAATTGTTAGGGTCGATTATTATGATTGACGCTTCGCCAACAATGAGTTCAATCTATTGACATTGTCTTCGTACCTAACTGGGAAAATTTTATACTTACACAAATACTCAGTAAATATCTAGAGACTAACTGAATATTTTTGTTTGCATTTATCACATTATCTCTGCATGATCATTGCATGATGTCTTATCTGCATATCGACGTTCAGAAATCGAATAAAAAAGGTTTCGAAGTATTTTTATGATACTAGGTATGTTTGGCTTATGAATCTGCTACTTATTTATCTAATAATTACAAGGTACTTTGTCGTAATATAATACATTTCTATAGATTTTTACCTAACTAAAACACACATAATAAAAATAGATATGTACGTAGATATGTGTTGTATATATATGTTTTTTATTATAGTTCAAACAAGTCTCACAATATGGTTTAAACGAAATCACATTCTTCGGTATTGACGGAAACACAAACTCCGCCTAACAAAAAATATTGCACACAGCTTGATCTATTTTTGAGTGCATTTCGCGCTATTTTGGCGTTCCCTACGCAGGCATGTGTCAATGACCCCGTTTGCTGGCGTTTGTTCACGTACTTTTTGAATTTTTGGGGCGATTCATGCGGAGTGCGAAGGCGAACAACAATCTGTTTTGTTTTACATTAGAATTTTTATTTTAAATGAAATACAGAATAATAAGTAGTTTAGTTCGGCAAGCAGTTTATGTAAATTTCAGTTTAACTTAAGTAAATTTGCTCTGATTTGTTTTTCAACATAAATACTTATCTGCTTATAAATCTAAATAGTAATAATAATATTATAAAGACGAAAGATTTGAACTCAAAAACTACCTAACCGGTTTTAAAAAATTCTTTCACCTTTAGAAAGCTATGATATCAGCGAGTAGATATTTTAACATAGACTATATTTTATTTTCAAAAATGTATGTAAAGCCGGGGCGAGCCGCTAGTGCTAAATAAATCTATCTAAAGTGGAATATGTAATATTTTTATATAATTAATATTAAATAGAATATAGAATATAGAATAATATAATAATCAATGACTGAATGAATCTCATAAAAGTTTTTACATTAAGGGTTTTATATAGTTTACAACTGAATGTTTTTAAAATAATTAAGTAACACAGACAAATTTACTGCATAGCTATTTCAGAAATATTCTCAATTCCATAATTTATCTACACTTTACGTTCATCTAAATATTCAATTTCCTCAATTTCCTTCAGTGAGACCTTGAATCTGAATAAGAAAATTACTAGGTATATCTATCAACGATAATAAGGGGATTTAGTTTACGTGGCTGGCGGTTGTTAGTAAGTATATAGGATTGTAATTACATACGAGTATAGTTATTGTAAGGCTACCTAATACTAGGGTAGGTTAGGTAATATTGGGATTCTAATAATACTAATTTAAAATCATATAAGTATGTACTTAGATATCTACCTATATTTAAAAAACTTGCACGAAATTTTATTCATTTCAAAGTCCATTTATCTAATGTAAATGCAACGACGCATATTAATTCGATTTTTATGTTAATTGTTATCAAAGCAAACTAACAGAATTGTTGTTTTCGTTGGCACGATGCGATGCGAAGTTCAGCGTTAGCATACAAAGGGACGGCGATACTAAGACGAAGCAACATTTTTTATAAGCCTAAATCGGCTTTATTCTACTATCGTCTCGACGCTATGGCGCGTTCGCGGCATACCAATACATTCATATGAGTAACATATGATGCGCATACGCACACAGATGCAAACGCCCTCAGCGCGCTGCAATTCGTCGGGCGCGCCGCGCACTCCGTCCCGCACCCTCTGGCCCGCAAGCAATTGCACTGCACTCCGGCACGCAGCATGCGTAAAAAGCGCACGCAGGAGGTGCGGAAAGCGGGGCGCGGCGGCGGCGGCGATGGCGGAGAACGGGCCGCGACAGCGCCGCCGCCTGCAACAATCCAACAGTCATTGCCAGACGCTCGTAAGAGCACGCCGCCCCCTCATAGGGCGTATTTGTTCGCCCATCCGCGCGAAACAACCCCGTACTACTACGAACTTTAAGTGCAAGTGCGTTTATTCTCATGAGTTCCCCGAAGACCTGAACATTTTTCTTACGAATAATACCCAAGTGTAAATTTTGGATTTTCAATAAAAGGGTGAGTTTTTCAATATTTATAAAATCTGAGAGACTCGTAGAGGTTCTACGCCCCGTAGCATCGTAGACAACCTGAAAAGTTTTTTTGCGTAACGTAATTCAAAAGTTTGGATTTTGTTCTTAGAATTTTATTTTGAGTTTGCTAGTTGAATTTAAACTTTAGAATGTAGTGAACAAGATCCAAACATGGCATGTTTGCATGATTTCGACTTGATGGATTTTATAAAAGAAGGGACACCGGCACATTCGCTTTCATCAGCCCCCCAAGTTCGATGTACCTGCTGAATAAAAGGTAAAAAGTCAATTTTGCAGTGAGGAAGGGCTCCGGAGCGTAATATGTAAATGGGGAAGGGCGGTGCAGTCGAACAGCGACGGTACACCGTGCCGTACGTCCGCAGTAGAGCGGCGTGCACACACAGTGCACACACGGTACGTTCTGACGATCGCTCGCGGCGCTACTTGCACGCGAACTTTGTGCGGATTCACGAATTGTTAATAATCATATGTGCTTGCTGGCGGGGACTGACGAACTAACTCTACAATGTATCCCGCCTCTACATGCTTCGAGATCTTACCTGGTACGTAATAGGTCTATTTTCAAACATGTTTATGCGGTTTAACTAAAACATTTAATTGTATCTTAAATAGTGATTAATATTAATGCTATAATTATCGCGCGTAATAGACGTCTCAAGATATAAATAGACAATTAAAATATTTACATCACTAAAAACAAATTACTATTTGTGCTTTAAAGTAAATAAAAAAAATTTAAAGTAAATTAATGAAATTATGTATGTATAAAAGATATTACCTAAGTAAAAGTTATTAATGTGACATAACTGCATGCTATATTTTTTATAATTGAATCTTGTCAGATTAAAAATTTAAAGATGAATTAGATAATAAATATTCATAAAAAAAATACAAAAAAAAACTATTTAGTTATATATGTATTTAACTACTTATTTAGTTATGAACAATATGTTGGGATTACACTCATACAGTTGTTTATTTCAAGTAATACGTACCTATGTAGTACTATTATTTAATTAATTTAATAAATGACTTCATCATTTATCAAATTATTCTTTATAAAATTAATTTATTAATAAAACTATGTATAATAAATACTGTGTTTATATTGTTTTTTTCATCATATAAAAATTGTGCCCAAACTTATGTAATAATAATTAAATCTCAACTTTGAAGTAATTAAGACAAAATAATAACGTTTATAATATTTCTTTTGTTCACAGAAGCTCAACTAAGAAAAATGGGTAGCAGCGAAGGTCAACAAACTTTTTGCCTGAAATGGAATCATCACAAAACAAATTTAGTAGAAATCCTCGAGGCATTGATTAAAGTAGAGACGTACGTTGATTGTACGTTAGTGGTTGACGAACAAGTCACTTTTAAGGCTCATAGAGTCGTGTTGGCTGCAAATTCTCCATACTTTCAATCCATATTGGCAGATGTTCCAATGGATCATTGTAGTATTTTATTCCCTGGTGTAAAAGACTTCGAAATGCGTGCTCTCCTGGAATATATGTATACAGGAGAAGTAAACGTAACACAAGCGCAAATACCTCGTATCATGAAGGTTGCAGAGCAACTGGAAGTAAAAGGACTTTTTGATATGACAGAGCTACGTCGACGTCCTGGAGCTAATGAGCGCACTCCAGCTTCTTCTCCTCCACGTGTGGTACCTGCGGCGCCATCTAGTGTATCGCCACCCGTACCCGCAGCGGCTTCTCGCTGGCCTCCTATGCCAACTGTTCCTGCACTATCAGCTGCTTATGAATCTGTTGACATGAATCCTTTGAAACGTAAAAAGCTTTCAAGTATGTTGGCTACACGTGACACTCCTATATTAAGAAATGTCCTTGCTCAAACAGCTTCAGTGGACTCGTCTCAACCTATATCTCTAGTTTGTCATCCAGTTAACCAACATGTACCACCACGTCTACACTCCAATGGATCAGCCCATGAATCTGACCGAGCTCCTAGTCCTCAACGCGCCTTTGATTACCGACCTCGTAGATTATCATCAAGAGCGTCTTCTCCTCATTATAATAGATCAGATCGCTCAGAAGATGCCCATTCTCCATACACAGAGCGTTCATTTGAAGAAGAAAACAATCGGAATTTTCATCCCTCCTCACCGCCATCCAATTTCCAACAAGATGTACGAACAGGATTAGCTCCTTATGTTCCACCGCAACAAAAACCAGAATGGAAACGGTATAAACAATACACTAGGTCAGATATCATGTCAGCTATCGAATGCGTAAGAAATGGAATGAGTGCTCTACAAGCATCACGTAAATATGGCGTTCCCTCACGTACATTATATGATAAAGTAAAGAAACTTGGTATCACAACAAGCCGCCCTATGAGTCGCGGTGTAAAGAGAGAAACGAATGGTGCTGCATTTCCTTATGGACTTAGTGGCACTGGTGGTGGAGACGATGGAGCTCCAACTGCACCTCTTATCGATCCATCTTTCTTGCAACAAGCATTAGAAGGCGCTACGCGAGATGGTGGTCGGGAAGCTTTGCACGCCATGGCATTAGCTGCTGCCGCCCACGCAGCATTAACTCCGAGAACGCCACCTCGATCAGCACCACAATCGCCACGGTCTCCGCCTCTTGATGATGACCACGTCGAAGATCTCTCAGTATCGCGTCGTCGAGATGTCGATACTCCTTCTGGAGTCATTGTTCCACCTCGTAATTTTGCATTAGATTGCAGTAGTGAAAGAGATTGAACAACAATAGAAAATTGAAAATAATTATTCAAAAAGACTGACTTAGGCGTACAAAGTTAGGAATAAGACATTTATTAGGCTACTGGTAGGACGCGCCGCGCGCGCACGCCACGCTGACCTGGCGTTTCGGCCGGGCGATTGCAATGGGCCCCGCGGCCACTTTTATTCTACCCCTATTCTTTTCTATTTATTTTCCTTGCACCATTGAAACCTGATAACGAAATAAAATTTCCGTTTGACGGTAAAAACGTGCCCCTTTGTGATTTTATTTTTGTTTATTCTCTTCTTTATTTTTTTTTTTTGTTTTATAACATTTATGTCTTTGTTAATGAAATAGCAAAATAGGTTAGCTTTAATTAGAATGTAATGTTGTGTTAGTTGGAGCGGTAACTTTATAGGGCCGAAGGGCAGGAAGGTAGCGCCGGCCACGCCGCCGCGCCTCGACCGGGTCCGCCTAGACGAGTTATTGTGCAATTTGTTGTCCGCGACTGTGATGTTTATAGACTGAAACGCCGCTACTACCTCACGCTCGCTACAATTTAACTCTAGTCCTACGCGTCGCATTATGCCATAACTTGAAACAGTCTACAGCAGGTGTATCTGAATATAGCAAGGATTGTGTGACGCGTGACGCTCATGTCCATATGATGCGAATAGCGACGTACTCTATTACGAGTATGTTATATAACATTTTAATTCCTAATATTACGGGTTAAATTATAAATTTGTAAACAAATGCCATAAACAATTTTTATGTTACACCTAGTTGTGCTCACTATGTCATCAGTAAATAGTTATATATCTACTACAATTATTTAGCACATGCACTGTCGTTCTAATTAGAATAAGTGAGATGAATTGTATCACTTAGTAAAATGCTCAATGTCTTTTCGTAAGTTTATGGTAAACAAAACTAGTTCGTCGCCATTCGCCGTTATACTTATTACAATTGAACTAAGTTAGTTTCTTATAAGTACAAGTACTTTACATTTCTTTCTAATAAGAAACATTATATATTTTTATTGTTATAAAGCTTTGTAACTATATAGAATAGTAATACTATGTAAGTTAAAAAAGTAGCACAGATTTTTCGTGGTCGGTCTAAAATAACAATAATATATTACCTTCCACATTATATTTTAAATACTGTTGTATCCATGTACTAATTTGATATCTACATACGTTAACTTCTAATAAAATATAATGTTAATTTTATAATACTGTTTAAGTTAAACACGTCATTACTTATTATTTTGTAATTGATTGGAAGACTGATTTGTTACTTTAGTCTAGTTTGAAAATGCCATAGATCGAGTAGGTATTTACATCTAAGCTTATGTCTATTTTAGCATTGCATAACGTACCTACATAAAAGTAAAGTTAGGTTGAATCACATATCTATTGAGTGTGTAGAAGCTACACTTTTGAGGTCTCACTGTGTTGTGCCTTTGTTTGTTTTAGTAAATATTAATGTTAGGACATTCCAGTAGTGCACTTTCGTGCTAATGTGTTTCGGATGAGTTTCAGATATTTGTATTATGGACTCTAAGAGAAATTGTGAGAAAAATATTCGCACATATTGTTTTTAGTGCCTATCCTAAAGTGTACCTCACGATTTCGTTAAAGCAATGTTATGTGATTATTATATACTACACTTTTGTGCCTATAAATATATTATTAATTATACTGTTGTGCACTATAATTCATCATTTTAGTTATGAATGCAAAATATTGTATGTACTTTACGTAGTTGATTAATGTATGGACACACCTGAGTTATTTTAAATCGAGTATGTTTATCTCGTACCTACATATTATAAGAACTCTATATTTACAAATAATATAATGTTATAAATATAAATTAAACGTTTAATATGGATATGTTTTTTTTTATTCTTTTTCAGTAATATGTTATAAGAAGATATATTGTATTATTAAACAATGGTGTCCCACTGCTGGACAAAAAGTCTCCGTTATCTTTTTCCAAGATCCTGTTCTGCACCACCTCAAACCAGTAAAATTAAATGCGTTTAGACTATCTCACTACTACTTGCTACTTGCTTGCGACGCTATCTATTTTAGTAATTTTATAAACGTGAAACTTTATAAAGATTGTATTTTTGTTACTGAATCATGGTTAAAGAGCTGAATGGATTTGAATAAAATTTAATGAACGGATAGGTTATGTCCTTAGTACATAGGACTTTATATTATATCGATTAACGCAGGCAACGCTGCGGGAAATAGCTAGTATAAAATATAGCTTTTGCTTCAAAGTAGAGTGTTATATTCATCAAAATGGTAAACAATCTAGTTATACCTATTTTTAGTTACACCATCTATGATTTTTTTAGTGAATGAGCATGAAATGGTATAAATAATAGCGCCTGCGCTAAGGGTATACACTGACGGAGCTCTAGTGAGAGATGATAAGTGAGGATGGAGCAAGTTATTTAGCTTGTAGACCTGGAACTCAGCACGATGATTTCTAGGGGAAACCGCGTGGAGGATGAATTGTCATAATCATTATCCTGAAATGTCAACAGTATACAAAAATAACGTGAACGTAATTAGATATGTTTTCTATAAGTAAGACAGTATTAGATATACTGACTTTCTTTAACCTAGGTAATGTATTTAACTGGTGAAAATTGTATTAAAGTGATTGCTAGTATCAAGTATCACATTTTTAGTTACAAAAAAATATCCCATCATTATATACCAAATCTAGACATCCAAATTGGCTTATTACTTTAATTACTATGTTTAAGTTTCCTACTTATCCCTATATTTTGTAAAAATTAAAAAAAATTACAATTTTTGCAAATTGTGGGAAATTAACCTAAGTTGATGTCATCAATAACGCCGTGTCGTTCCGGCATAGACGACTAAGAGATTACGAAGGATGAGCAGCAGCATCCCTCTTAAAAAAATCTTTATTCATACTTATACCCTAAACTTAATTAGTTATTTTACATGCTAAAATAGAGAGAATCATTGATATAAAAACACAGAAAGATTTTTCTATTTCGGAATGTGGATCTGCAAGTATATTTAAAAATAATTCAATATCTTGTCTGTTTAGACTATATTTACGTGTTTCTCTTTCAGTTTTGTATTTTTAAATTCAGATATTATGATTTTTACAAAACAGGTTCAACCTAATTTAGGCATAAATGCTAAACTTTGTTTTTATACAAATATTTTTTGATAACAAATACATTGTCTTTTATTTTAGTAACAGCGCCATCTTTAGGGTTGATGACGAAATACTAATACATTTAAGATAATTAGCGTTAGATGGCTCTAAATATCAATTAGCAATTTTTAATACGATATATTTTAAATGTAAAAATAAGATAATTATTTATTATAAATAATACAATATTGTAAAAAAAGTGTACAATATTTATTTAAAATGAGTATTTGATAGAGTGTACTTTAATAAAATTTCTGTCTGTAAGAATGCGTTCATAAGTGACGTAAAATCGCACCACGTTTTTAAGCTTTCTGATTGGTAAGCATAATCAGGAGATTGTCAAAGAACTTAAAATGCCAAAAAACGTAAACAAGATTTTGTTATAACAATTATTTTTATTTAAGTATATTTTATGTGAAAATGGAGCAGGAAGACTTATTATTAAGCCCAGACGGCTTCTACTGCAGAGATATGGCTGAAATAGAAGGCTGGTATTTTGTTTTCAAATTGTGATTTGTTTTATCATGATTGAAGTGTTATTGAATATTACAGAATAATTTAATTATTCCAGACTTCCTCAACAATTGCGACTCTGATTTTATGAAAAAACTTGAGGCTGAACTAGCAACTGTGGAAAATGATTCAAGTTTACTCAGTATTGACACAGATATCGGAACTGATAGTCCATCACAAGCTCAAGTATCGCCGTATTCCAACACGAGTAATCCGTTATTCTCTCAATATTGGAATACAAATAAATCTCCACAGAAGATTGGTCAAAATCAGAAATCCAGCCCCATTCAAAATGCTAATATAAAAGAGGATAGGTTTTCTGTACCTGTCAAGAATGATGGTGCTCCCTTGCCTGATGTCACGCAACATGGACAGAATTCAGTGCCTACACAAGCCCCTATGATTGTACAGCAAGTTGTTCAAAGCCCATTTTATGTTAATCTGGCGCCTGGAAGTATACATCAGTTTCCAGATGGTCGAGGGTCATTATTAAAATTGGATGGAGTTTCACAAGCAAAACAACCCAGTAAAACACAGCAGTCTGGTCAACCTTTAATTTTACAAAACAATACCAAAGGAATAACCCCAGTAATTTTAAAAACCACGGATGCAAACTTTTCTCCAGTAATATTACAGTCTAATATAATCCCTGAAGCACAAACATTAATGTACACAAGTGCTCCTGTACAAGGTACCAATCAGTTTCCCATTACGTAAAACCAGCTGTTATGAAAAGATATTCCTAATTATTTTTTTATTTTTAGCTAAGTTTTCCTTATGTTATAGTCAAATTTGATGTGCATAATAGATATTTAATAATAGAATAGCAATGTTACATCATCCAATTATATGTCCTGGTAAATGTTTATTTATGATTAGACATTTGACAATTTATAAATAAATCTTGTGTGGTTGAAAAAAGTATGTGTACTAGTTACTAAGTCACCTGTAAATGTAAATAACTTTATTATTTTTATAAATGATGCAATAAAGTGTAAATAAATAGCTAATCAAAATTGCTACAGAATTTAGAATAGTTTTACCTTAAACCAATTGGGCTTATATTGGGGTTATACATAGTCCTTTATATTTTATCTTATAATAACTATTTAATTTTAATTATAATAAAAATCTTTGCACAGAACTTAAGAGTCTAAGAAGAAGAAACTAACATGAAAATTGTCAATTAATTGTTAATGAAAACTATATATAATCTTTTAAACCTTATATGTATATTGTACATTCTTAATATTAATATTAACTTTTAGGAACACCACAAAATATTATAACAAATGCAAAGTCAGGTTCAGAAAATAGACCTATACATACATTTTTCACAAGCAGTAATGGCCCTGCCTTGTTAGCAACAGGTATACCAGTTGTGCTTGAAGGAGACAAGATTGCTCTGACACAAGCCCCTAACATAGGTACTCCAAAAGTAAAGGAAGTGAAGAGAAGTGCACATAATGCTATTGAAAGAAGATATCGGACCAGTATTAATGATAGGATTATAGAACTCAAGAATATGTTAGTCGGAGAAGATGCAAAAGTAAGTGCAGTTTAAAAACTTATCTATTATAGATTTATTCTGTATATCTTTATCTGTAATTTATTCTGTATATATTTTTATCTTGACAACAGAGTTTTCAAAATACTTTTAATTTATATATAAAAGCTGTTCATCAGTTATTTTGTCCCATTTGTTTTTCTGCTAAGAAGCTACATAGTGTTTCATTTGATGGCTGGGATATAGCAGTAAAATTATATAGTATATCAAATTTTTATAACTACTCCTCTCCATCTAAAGGTTGCCTGGAAGAGATCACTTAGCTATAAGATCATTTACTGTTTCCTCAGTGTGATAATTTATTGTAATTGTCTATAAGTTTATTACTGTACTCTTTTGGAGGAAACAATAAAGAGTATCTATCTATCTGTATTAAATACACAAATAGCAGTTAGTTACATTATAAACAAAGCTTAAAAACTATAATTATAAAGTACTTTTATATTTGAGTTTTATCCAAACAAATGATCTATTTGTAATTGTAATGTACATATATATTGAAACTTACAGTTAAACAAATCAGCAATATTAAGAAAAACAATAGATTACATCAAGTATCTACAAAATCAAAATACTAGATTGAAGCAAGAAAATATGGCACTCAAACTCACATGCCAGAAGTCTGGTTTGAAAGAGCCAGTACTGGAAGGTGGATACACTCCACCGCACAGTGATATCTCTTCACCATATCCATCTCCAAATGCTCTTGATAGTGATTCCCCATCATCACCAGATTATAAGGTAATTTATCCATATTTTTCTTAATATGAATTTAAAAGTAAAATTTCTTTTAAATATAAATCTGTAGTAATTATTGCCACAAAGTGATTGATTTTTGATACTAACATCTTTAGGAGATTATTTACTTATTTCTAGCTTGCTTTGTGAAAAACTAAATGTACATGGTTTTAATCTATACAATTTGATTAACTTCTTAATAGAGAACAATTGAAACAGTATATATTTTTCAATTATCTTATTTTTTTTCTATATTTTAAAATTAAAACAATAACATCACTTAAAGAAATATATAAAATATGATTACACAAATAAATTGATTTTGTTTTTACACAGATTGATACAGAGAAATATTCTAAAATAGTAATGGGAATGGGAGATCGTTCTCGTTTGGCTCTTTGTGCTTTTATGGTGGGATTAATAGCATTCAATCCGTTTAGTGCTTTCTTTGGAAGTTTTATGTCCGATTCTACATCACAAGATTTTTCGGCAAGGGTCGATCAAAGGCGTATTTTATCTGATAATAATATAGGTAAATTTATTTCTATATAATTATTTTTTAAGCATTAATTTATAATTTTTTGAATTTCATTTATTTACTTTGAAATTTCTTGCAGTCTCTACTTCTCAAGGTTGACTGGTAGAGAATATCAATTGAGTTAGCTGACTTATTTTTTACTAGTCAAGTCTTAATAGATTCTAAATATAATTTTTTTATGTCAATCATAATATCTGTTGATTATATGATACAATCTTATCTAGTTTTGTTAAAGTATTTTATGTAATTTCTGATTGTTTTTAGGATATACAAATGGGTCTTGGAGTATTTGGTTGTTCAATACAATTTTAATTTATTTAATAAATTTTATAATTCTGGGAGGATGCCTTGTGAAATTGTTAGTATATGGAGATTCTGTACCAAAATCACAATCCAAAGAAGCTGGGCTTTTTTATAAACATAAAAGACAAGCAGAAAACTTTTTAAAAAAGGTAAATTTGATACAATTTCTAATCTATGAAAATGTTTAATTATAAGTAAGTAACAAGATGACATTATTGGAAAATTGATTCTAGAATCTAAAATTTAAGGAATTTTAAATAAATAAATGTTAGTATGAGTATTATTAAACAAGGAGTAGCATTTATTTCTATATAAAGTAACTCATACAGCATAGAAATAGTCTCTTTAGTCAGTTATGTCACTGAAAATGTAGTGGTGTTTACTTTTCTTGAATATAATTTTCAGGGTAACTTAGAGAATGCAAAATTGGAATTACATCACTCGCTGGCTGTGTGTGGCAAAAGTGTACAAACAGATGGTCAAGGACACACCAAGTACACGGCATTGCTGGCTGCAATACTTAGACAAGTCCTCCAGAGACTACCATTTGGTCGATATCTTGTTCAGCGTGCAGGTGATATATGGAGTGACAGGTAAATTATTATCTACCACATCTACATGTAATTTATATTTTTATTTGGGGTTGTGTATCAGTATAAGTTACTTTGTGTGTATATAATGTGTAATCACTTTTCTTTATCCCTTAAATACTGAAAAAGTAAAGGAATAAAGCTTAACTATGCAAGATAATGAAAACTGGAGATAGAAATTTATAATAAGCCGCCTGGCAATGGGTTTCACGTCTGTGTTCTTGCTGAGTATGCAGCCAGCTTAAAACCTGTAAAGGGTAAAAAAATCTATTTATTATATCAGCTATGAATTTAGCCTATAAGTTAGTATTACAATAAAACCTTAAATTAATATTGATGTATATTGTGTATATACAGTTGTAATTTTTATTATCATAAAGTCCTGCCAGAAGAGCGACACAACACTGGGCGACGGAGGTGTCGACCGTCTCGCACCACCTAGCGCAACTTTCGGTATTGTCCTCGCAAAGCGGCCGCGGCGAGAGCGTATTGCTGGCACTGCAAGCCGTCAACTTGGCTGAAGCTACTAGCAACAAATTGCTCGTCGCTGATACTTACGTCACTGCTGCATTGGTTTTCAAAGATTATATTCCTAAAATTGGAAACTGGCTATGTGGGTGAGAATTTTTACTTGATAGATGTACCGATTTAGGTATCAAAATATTATTAGATGAAATAGATAAAATTAAATGTTTGCTAAACAAAATATAATTGTCATGCGTTTTGACGTAGCCATTTATCTTTTCTCAATTGTCTTTCACAACCCCCATGGGTGGCGTATTCTATGCTCGATCCACACACCGATTCCCAATCAATTTACTACGATGCTCAACTTCTGCTATCCTGTGCTGTATATCTTTATCTATATCTTAGTATATACCTAACCTTTATTTTTCAATAATAATGTGCAATAACAATCCCATGTGCAGCATTGGTATATTCAGGGGGAATACCTGTGATGTATGATAGTGAGGAAAAAGTTGGGTTAGTGGGCTCATCGTGACAAATTTATCAAGAATTAACTACTTTCCACGGAAGACCGCATGAAAGTGAAATTGACAATCGCTAGCAATGTACCCTGTCAAGTTTCGTTTTTTTTTTTGATAGGTGAAAATAGTATGGTAACTTCGCCTGCACTACCGTGATACGCTGGCGGAACACCAGTGAAGGGTGATAGATGAGAATGAAAACAGGTCAGTTAGCCCATCATGATGAATTCATCAGGAATTAACCATGATAGTTTCCAGGGAGAACCGCGAGGAGGTCGACCTGATTGGATATATTGCTAGCAATGGGATTCTCAGTCTCTATTACTAACAATCCCTTTCCTCCCTGTCAAGTTTTGTTAGTCCCTATTATTAACAATCTCTTTTATTTAGTTTATTAGTTATGGTTTGTTCAGGTACTATCTGCGTTTATGTCGCGTTGCAATTACGGGTGAGAACGCGAGCCCGGGGCGTTTGCGGTGGGCGAGTGATACGCGTGCGCAGAGTTTCCTGCGCTCGCGCCGCTGGAGCTACGACCACAATCACCGTCCTTCATTACTCTTCAGTCGCCTGCCCAACCCCACCGACCCGCTCGCGTACGCTATGAGGGTGAGCCACTAATATATTAAATTATTATTATTTATTATTTTATTATATGAGATAGATAGATGCTCTTGTTGTTAATAGCGATCTTCTCCAGATAACATTTAATGGAGAGGAGCAGTTTTAAACAGTTTATTTGGAGGCATGGTGAGAATTCTATTGTTTTTTAATACATATGGAGATATAATACACGCAATTATGTAAATATATAAATAGATATCCCTACTTTCTAGATATATTAGATTGATAAATGTGGATAAAGTGAAAGAGGTTTGTTTGACTTGGAGAATGTGGTATCCTATTGTTTCTGCCTACCGCAAAGGGAGATGGGCATGTTGTATATATGTATCTAGTTGATACTGATAATTATAATGACAAGTGAAACTTGCTATTTTTTCTGTTTCTATGAAACTTCTGAAAAACCATTAGATATATAAAATACCCTAAAAGTCTATCTAAAGGTTAAATTAATTTGGTATAGGGGCATGAGTGGTGACGAAATTCCATATCAAGATGTTATATTTTTGCAAGATTTGTGAGAATATTTTATCATTTTTGTATCTTTTTTATTTCTAGGCGTATCACCTCGAACTTCTCCAGAATAGTCTCCAGATGCTGTTATGCGGTGATGAACGCAGCAATACACGCGATGTTCTCGAATTGGTCAAATTAATTACAGACGACGTGTCTACTGATACACCACATCATAATGGTATAAATTTTAGTTAGGTGAATGATAAAAATATAATTTAATACATGAACCAAGACACATACAAAAGTAATACTAAAAACAATAAAATATACTCGTGAGTACGTTTAATAGAATATATTTTGTAGGACACATGCAGTGTTGTTAGTTATCATAAATATATATGTATTTTAATACTTAAAATATCATCATAGCCTAACAGCGGTTGCCAATCCGCCTGTTTGGCCACTACCGGCAATATGAGGAAGGCCTATGTTCAGCAGTGAACAATTAACGGCTGATAATAATAATAATATGTAGACATTGTGTTATCATGAAATTTCTATATTCTTTTCACCAATTCTATAATGATTTTTGATTATATTTTAATCTAAAACTTAGTTGGTTCTATATTAATATTCTCAACATCGAGGCGAGTTTATTTTGCAGAACATATAAAATATAATATTTAATATGGCGTTGTTTTTTATAAAAATTGTATACCTGTTTTTTAATTACGTAGGTTGCTGGGATCCAGTGATGGAATGGTGGGCAAACATAGTCGGTGTGGCCGCCGCATGGCTGCTAGCGGATATCAACAAAGCAATCGAATTCGGTAATCGGCTGGACATATTACCTGAGCCACTTACCAGTTGCGAGGATCCTCTACCTGGGTAATTATCTATATAAATAAAAATTTATATTGTTCATTGATAATGAACAATATAAACATTGAGAACAATTAGAATTATTTTGTTAATTAAATTGTCATAATAGTCTGATAGGGAATGAAAAATAAATGGAATTTAGACAGGATATCTGCCTGGCTAGCAAGTTACTTTATTATTTTCCATGTGATTTATGTATAATCTGATATGCAAAATATTTTTTTCCAGAATGAAATATAATATTATGCTTGAGTGAAACCTTCTCTTCTTTAGTTATTAATAAAATATAGTACAATCACATAAAAATACTTGTGCTATTACCAAATAAATATTATTTTACTAGCGCTGTATGTAAAATGTTAAACTGTGTTTTTGTCAGTCAATCAGTACATATATATTTTATAGTATAATATAAAAATACTTCACATAATTGTATAAATGTTTTAAATTACTAGAGTAATAAATTAAACAAAAATTAATCCTGGTTATGGATTTAAAAAATATTATAATATTTGGCAATCAAAATAATGCTGTAGTTTGTTCTTGCAGCAAGATGTTCTCACACTAGAGACCATTTAGAATTTCTAGTCTTACTGTTTATTAAACAAGCGTATAGTTTATACTTGGTATTATAATAACAATTGTCTTTTGTAGCATAAACAGTTGTTGGAAATATATCTATTGTGCTATTATATGTAGGGCTCTACACTTGGCATACAAAAGCCGGCGTGGACTGCTGAGCCTTGCGCAGTGCCAAGATGAAGACTCCATTGAGAGGATGTCGGAAACCGTACTCAAGGTACATCTTATTAACTATTTTTTTTTCTAAATATTTATATACCAATCATAAATCTGTTTGAAAGCGGTAATTGTAACGGTAATTACTGTATACATGGTTGCTCCTGGCTTCTTACATGTCGCTTCTCGTATCAGTTTCGATTCAATAATAAAATAGGAATAATGATGAAAGCTACTCATACCGAAATTCAATCATCAGTATAATTAAATTGAATCAATATTGCTAAGAAATGTTTTATAGATTATAATTCAGTAAAGATTAATGCTCTTGAGGATTTTGCTCTATTCTGTTTTTCTATGAATTGACGATGTCTTTTTGTCCTTGTAAGCAATTATTTTCGCTACATTTTACTCCTATATATCTATATTACTCCAAAATAACTTATTTTATATAGGCATGCGATATGGCTGGAACCAAGTTAGCAGATTCACTGGCGTATTACTGCTGTCGAAAACCAACACAACTCATGTTGGTAAGTACCTCTCTCTTTCTGTTAATTAAAAAAAAAAAATGATAACTTGAAATGGTCTGTAAGTAAAAAAAATATTTTTTACTTATTGTCAGCGCAAATGCATGATACTTGGCTCACTATGTTGTCTGTCAAAATATGATGTAAATAGGGATAAGCGTATAAAATCGTAAAGGTATCATAGCAATTAATACTTTGGAACTTCATATTTTCATCCATAACTATAGCCAATTGTAATGCCATTGAATTCTTTTACTTTTGAATATTTAATTTATAATATTATGAATTTTTTTTAGATTGACAAGTCTATTAAGAAATTATACACCAATTAATAATTATATGATAATTATTAGTGATCAAAGTTAATACATAATAATAAAATACAAATTTTGGATAAAATATCGTTCCAATTGATTTTTAATTTCATCTCACTGATATAATGCATGTACATTTCTTTTTTACTATAATTATGAAATGTATGTACCTTATTGGTTTGTGCAGACTTTGAAATGTATATAATCTAATATATGTATGTTTAATCTTTATTTGATTTTTACTCTCCACTTAATTTTGAGCATGTTGCATAAGTTTTGGCATGTTAATTATCTATGATTGTAATTGTCAAATGTTTATTGTGTACTTTATATTTTGTTTTTCGAGTCGTATTTAAGGAGCATGAAGACTGTTGGCTATTGCGTGAGTGCATTGTAGTTGCATTGCACTTGTTTCCATGTTTGTGCAATATCACTACAAGGCAAATCTCGCTTTAGTAACATTCATCGAATTTGATAGAAGATATTAAGAATATGAGTAATTTGATTTTTTATCCATGTTTCTTCTTGAAGATTATATTGTATGGTGTATTTAAGTCATACATTCAACTTTATAGAATTGTAATGTTTAACCTAGGTAATGGCAAAAATGTAATAACTACTTTTAAATTTTGCCCTACGATAATTTCAATTTGCGTTTGTATCTAAAGTTACTTTAACAGATTTAGAAATAACGGTTTTAATTTTATAGCCCTTTAATATTGGTTTATTTATTAATATTGGTTTATTTAACTAGTTTTTTTTCTCTATTTGTACGATTTCAGAATAAAGAATAATAGATCACTTCTAGATGGCGTATTGAAATAAAACATATACCGTTTTTAAGTTACACCTTCACAAATACAACTGTGGAAATTGCATCCAATTTCGTGCAGTAGTTTTTTGTGATACCCGAACAAACAAACACACAGACAATAGTTTTAGTTTCTATTGCTCTTATTATTACTTATATATACTCATCATATAATTTTATTTTACAATATCTCGAACATAGGCATTGTCTAGTTACCATTTTATTATATTAGTAAGGATTATGTTAATAATTGATTTTTTAATAAAAAAGATATCTAAAATAGTTTAAATGCACCAACAAAGTTGCATAATTTTTTTTTATGTCTGTATATTTTATTGCTTGCAAAGATGCACGCTTCTAAAATATAATTATTTATTATTTCTTAACAACTTACTGTACTGTTGTATGTATATTTATATTTAAAATATATAGAAATTAAGTCATGGCAGTTTAACTAAATCCGTTCAGACCCTTTAGACAAGAGGCAAACGAATTCATAGATGGTATCGACATCGCTAGCGAGTCCAAGAGATAGAATGAGATAGTTGGATATTTTGTCGCTTACTACTTGCCTAGAGGGGAATTGTGATTAACAAAGAATCCATACATCTCCATTTTTATAGTATTAATAATGTAATGTCTTCATTCAAATAATGTATTTCGTTGTAGTTGATGCAGGTATTGTGTTGCGACTGGGTGTTAGAAGTTCGCGCGGGCGTCTGGGAGGCAGGGTGCGACACACCAGCGCCACACACCCAGCTTAGCGGCTTCCAGAGGGACTTACACTCGTTGCGTCGCCTCTCGCAGAACTTGCCGGTAAATTATTTCTTAATTTTTTTTTTTACACTAATTATATATTACATATATAGTGGCAAATAAGCATACGACCCGTCTGATGGTAAACGGAGCCATCGTAGCCCAGTGGCGTTGTTAGGTAACCAGGGTAAGCAATAAACCAGCCAAAGAATACAGGGTAGTTCACCGCAAGTATTAAACAAAGATATTTGAGACTAGTTACCAGAGGGAGACTTTGTACAAAAGTCGTTTACTTGAGTACCTCTGTCCTATTTGTGTTTCAACCGTAAAGCAGTTGTATTTGTATGACTGTGTTTCGGTTTGAAGGGTGGGATATGGCGTAAATTTACTGGGTACAGAAAAATAACACCTGAATCCTCAGGAATGGCAACGCATGGGGGATCATGGGCGAAACAGTTTACTCTGTTATGTACATGGTATTGCTCATGTCTATAGGCGACGGTTACCACTTTCCATCAGGTGTGTCGTCAGCTTGTTTGCCGTTCTAAGTTGTATAAAAAAAAAGTTAGGAATTTCCCTGTATTTTTTTTCAAATAAGTTACCCTTATAAAAGTCGCGTTACTAATATCTGCTTTATTTAGATTCCGAATGTAGGAGAAATTTTCACTAATTCAATTGATAGTCTAGAGTCCGAGGGGGCCCCCTGAGCTTGGGGCCCCGGGGCACTGCCCTGTCTAGCCCTCTGGTAGCTACGCCACTGCTGTATCCTATAAACACCTGTGACCCTAGAGATGACGCGCGTTGCAGACTCTAATTACCCGGCCTTCTGCTGCATGGTGACTGCATCGACGTTCGCGCGATGGATTTTGAAATTTGCATATTACACATTTTTCCGCAGTAAAAGTTTATTGTATGACCCAGGGCTTGGGTAGATCAGATAAATAGTAGATTCATTAAAATTCATTCAGTAGTTGAACTACCGTTTTACTAGTTGTCCGTCTCGAAATTAACAGTAATAACAATGATCTTTATTCTTTTGTCCATGCTATTATTGTCGATTAAAGAAATTATTATTATTATCTTGTGCAGTGGATGACGTCGCGTGTATTCCTGCAGTCGGCGGTGTGTCGCATGATGGCTGGCGCGGCGCCTCGCCGCACGCAGCAGTTGCTCGACGGCAGCCTGCGACCGCGCTCCAACCGCCCCTCTATTATCTGTGGGAAAGGTCAGTACTGCTCCACAACTAGTTTCATGAATCACAATATTAATTTCATCAACTGTTATATGTACCTGTATATATTTTCTCTGAGGTTTCGGACCCGCCTTAAGTTTTCTTTTATTTTCTTTTTAAAAGAAAAATAAAGTATCTTATTTATAAAAATTAATCCTATTTTACACAAACTTATTAGTTCTAGTTACTTTTTCAACTGACTTCAAAAAGAAGTAGGTTCTCAATTCTTTTTTTTTTTATATTTGTTACCTTATAAGTCTGTCAGTTGTAAACCAATTTGTACTTTTTTTATCTGAAAGGATATACTTACAGATTATTCCCATAAATATTTTATAAAAATCGGTTAAGTTTTGAAATCAAAGTGACTGGTTTTGCCAGAATTTAAGCTAATTTTTCTTTGTGGAACACAATCTTATTTATTATTTATTGGGATTTATATCATAAAAAAGCAATATAGTTTATATTTAAAAAAAAAAACGGTTATTAGATGTTTGACTTCTTTATAAATAAGCTATTTGTTTTGTTTTGTCTAATAAATGATATAATTCGTTTATACAGATCGTGTATTAGAAGGCGGCGGTGGTGAAGGAGAGCGTGCTGTAGCATTGTATATGGCGTGCAAACACTTACCGGCCGCAGTGCTAGCGGCGCCGGGCGAGCGTGCTGGTATGCTTGCACAGGCTGCCACTATGCTGCACAAAATTGGACACCGCAGTCGGCTGCCACTCTGCTACCATCTAATGAAATCTTTCGGCTCGCTACCCGCAGCGCCTTAATCGAACATCAACAATATTGTATACTTTAAGGTGGAGCTAAGAGAACACAGAAAAGAGTCAGAAATTTATATCAAGTACATCTAAATTAAATGACAACAAAAGATCCAATGTTTTGAGAGTATAGTGAAATGATGTTAGTACTTCAAAATTGAAGTAGGAGGAGAAGTAGAATGCACTTGCTTGGTCGGACTCAACCTAACACAAGAAATAAAAGGTTATGATATAACCAGAAAAATTTAAGAACATTTTATTTTACAACACGGTGCTAACGAGCATACATACATAAATAACATAAATGACCTACATAAATGTTCACTGCTTATCGTGTTTTTATGTATGACGTAGTTAGGTGTTTAATTTTTTTTAACAGTAATCTCTATCTCTGTGTTTATGAGCGAACTTGCGTTGTTTTTACTATTTAACTGAAAAATCGATTATGAAAGGGTTTATTCCAGTGCGGTTACAAGTCATTTTATTAAAATTGAAGTTGATTATGTAAAAAAGCTACCATATGAATGTTAGCTTTTATATATATATATATATATATATATATATATATATATATATATATATATATATATATATATATATATATATATATATATATATATATATATATATATATATATATATATATATATGTTCTATTGTATGTGCGAATTTGCGTTACTTTTACTATTTAAGAGAAAAGTCGATACTGAAAGGGTGTATTATAGTGTGGTTACAATTAATATTGTTAAAATTGAAGTTGATTATGTAAAAAAAAAAATACCATATGAATGGTAGTTTCTTTTACAATATATATATATATATATAATATATATATATATATATATATACTATTTCACGTAATTCATATATATATATATATATATATATATATATATATATATATATTACTTGAAATTTTATGGATAATATTTAAGGCGACTTTAAAATCATTGAGAAAATAATATAAAATTAAACCAGTGATATGTGAGATACTTCGATTACAAAATATAATGTATGAATGTAATTTCTAATAAATTGTACTTTAAGATAGAATACATTTTTAAACATGTCTATGTAACAGACATGTTTTTTGTTTTATACAAATTTATTGCTCTTATATTCATCTACAATTGTTTGACTTTATTATAATTGTGCGTAATGATAGATTAAAATCTAAAAATTGTACCAATTTTGTTGAAGTTGAACTAAGGCGCAGCCAAAAGTTAGTTGTTTATTCTTATTTATTATGTTTCTTTGACGTTTAGAACGCTATAATTGTTTTTATTTATCAAAAAATTTGGAAAATATATTTTAGTGTGATATTTATAATCACGTAGTATTTTTTATGTATTCTACGACTATGAAGTGCAAAGCAAGGCTAAAATCGTAAATGTAGATAATGTTCACAATGAAAACGAGTTACAAGTACTGTTTAGCAAGTATAAAAAATTATACTAATATTGATGTTATGACTAAATTTGAAATGTCATTGTATAAGATTAAAATAATTTTTTATGCTGCAGCTAATAAATGTACAATAAGTTTCATATTTTTTCTTATTTTTACTTATACCTAATAATAAGTCCAGTCAGGTGATTCCTACCGTAGCCGTCTAAGTATCTAAGTATTGATGGCGGACAGCTCCTTTTAACAATGCACTGTGCGTGACTGTTTGTAGGGTGTAAGGATGAATTGGAGGGCAGGGGGGGGGGAATGGATTTTTAATAATACAGACTACCAGTCCCATTACTAGCAATATACTCTGTCAGGTCGACCTCCACATAGTACCTCTTGGAAACAATTGTGCTAAATTCCAGGTGTATTCGTTACATTGGGCAGACCTGCCTTTCCATTTTCATCTATCATCCCTCGCTGGTTCCCCACCAGTGTATACTGTTAGCGCACGCGGGGTTAGTATTCCATGGTTGTTGTAAACATCACCTTGAAGAGTTCCTTACAACACAATCTGTTATATATGTCAAAAACGAAGATAGTAAAAAAATATTTACTCTTATAGGAAATCACTACTGATATTGGGATTATAAATTACGGATAAATCAGTTGTCTTGGAATGAACTTCATATTTTTTATTACTAGTTTTTTTTAAAGGAATTGAGAAAATTGAAAAGTTTCATTATAAAAAGTTTATCTACAGTAGATGCAGACAACAGGCATGCGACTATTATTATATTATGCAAACAGCAGGTTATACGGCCCTATAACATTTTCGTACACTAGCCTGCTATGAATTGACAAGAATAGCAACCGATGATGTATCTGTAGTCCTCTTTTCACTATTTAGATTTGTATAAGGAGAAAGTAGGCAACCATATGATTTACAGTTTTTATTTTACCATTACTTCTATGTAATTCCTTGTTCTTAGATTTTATCTTATTTATCATTCAATCTATTTAACCGTGCGAAGTCGAGGAGTATGAGAACAGGATTGATTAATACGTAGTATGGTATACTAAGTCTATGGGCGTGATAGATATATATGTATGTAAGTATTACAAGATATTTTGAATATTTTTGGCTGGACTGAAAGCAATAAAAAAAAAAAGGAAAGAATTGTGACTGTCAAACAAGACGTCATAGGTCATGTATGCACACCTTCTCATTTATACAAGCTTGGTATTGTACAAAGTTCGTCGTCTAATTGCGGTGCTGAAATAGCGGACTTGAATCATATATTTTTCTCATGTTCTAAATTTGACCACACCTCCCTTTTTCATCATCTCCGTGTTCCATCCCCAACTTCTATTCTTATTCTACTTTCTTCCAATGATCCTATTATCTATAAAATACTGTCATCATATATATATGATAACAATATTAAGATTTAGTTATATTATATGAATACATTTATAGTTGCATCAATTGCTTTTCTTATATATTTATAAGTATATTTTCTTATGTACAAGTACATCCTTCATATCCTATAAGTATCTAGACCTAATCCTTATCCTTTCTAAATTCGTTTGTGTTAGGTATTTTTATTATTATTATCGTTTTCCCGTTTTGTTCTTGGCAAAATACCCTAATATCGGGGTGAACGCCACAAAAGAAAAAAAAAAACACTACGTCAATGAATAGAGGTATGTTGACATTTAATTTAGTGTTGCAAATTTCAATCTTTAGATTAGATTTAGCCATTTTTTTATTATACTCTAGCCTTCAGAAAAAAAATATTATGATCAAAAATAGATGAAAAGTGGTAAAGTTGCTATTGATAGCAAGTACAATGTCTTCTTGTTAAGCATTTTTTTTTAAATATTTTATTAGATTCTTTAGAAATAAAAATTATACATTTATATCGAATAATATGGACTTTATTTAAAAATGATAAAATAATTTCATGTTTATAAAATATCAATGTGTAATTTATTTTCATTTAGTTAGCCCGTAATCTATTATATTGAGTTGGAAACACTGATATCATTTGTTTTTATTATATATATCTATGCTTATATTAATTAATTATTTACAATCTAATACTATTTTATTAATTTAAATTGTCAAGTATCGAATTTGATAAAGTTCTCTGTGAAATTAATTAATAAAATGGTGTTGTAAACATTAGCTTTAGTATAGCGCTAGAAAATAAAAATAAAAATTTTTAACATTAAGACGACAATGGTAAGATTTGCTGTATATTATTATTTTAGTACATTTTTAACTTTATTTTATGTAGTGAATGTTTTATAAATGTAAACTTACAGGCAACTACGATAGCACAAAAGAAGGCTGTTAGTTCCAATAATGCAACATCTGGAGGGGTTCGAAAAAAATCCGGTCCCAAGTTTGAACTGTCTGAAGAACAGCGCCGTGATATAAAGGAAGCTTTTGATTTGTTTGATACAGAAAATACTGGTAAAATAGATACAAAAGAATTGAAAGTAGCTATTCGAGCTCTTGGGTTTGAACCTAAAAAAGAGGAAATAAAAAAGATGATTGCTGAAATTGATAAAGGTGATGGTAAAGTTTCGTTTGAGGACTTTCTTGACTTGATGACTGTCAAAATGGCAGAGAAAGACACAAAAGAAGAAATTATGAAGGCATTTAAGCTTTTTGATGATGATGAAACAGGTAATCAATTGCTTTTAAAGTTTTGGCAGTAAGAATATCATTCAATAATTACCTATAATTGTTCTTTTATAATACTGTGTTAGCATAAAATTCTAAACTTAATTACAAACCTTCAAGTGAGCTGCATGTCCGTTTGCCTCCTGTGTTAAAAAAATTCTTCAGAGGGAGACCATATAAGTTTATATGGGCACCTCTGTCCCAGCTGTCTTTCCAGTAAAGCAGCAGTGTATGTATTGATTGCGTTTTTGTTTGAAAGGTAGGATATGGCAGTGAAATTACACTTCTCAAAAATGGCAGTGTATGAGGGGTATCACCACAGTGAATGCTGTAATGTATATTGGTACTTATTAGAAAAAACAATGTGCATATTCTCTGAATGGATGATTGAGATTATAGATGCTTTATTTTCATATAAATTTATAGTTTCATGTACACTTTGATCTTATCCAAAATACCAAGAAGCCCCAATCTCATATACTGATTATTATTTACTTATATATGTGTGATTAACAATCATGTACACATGTATGAATTGAAATAACACATAGATACTTCAGATAAATAAAAGAATGAGATAAAATAGATGAAAATAAGCAATTAGTCAGTTTTATAAGATATGATCATGTTATTAAAAGCATGCAAGAAAAGAGAAATGAAAAAGTAAGCCTTTGAAAGGTCAAGAGTTATTAATAAATCATACTTTAAAAAAACAATTAATATGAGAGGTATTAAAAATACAATATTTTATAAAAACAATTATATTTGAGGTTGTGTTTATTATACAGTGGATTTTGGGTATAATGATGATGAAGGGACCACTCTATTTTCGTCGTTATATCTGGAAGTCATTACAGGCAAAAGTAAAGAGATACAGGCATGTACACATGTATAGTTTTTTCTTCATAAAAATCAGCATTGTTTTCACCATTTTTCATTTTGAAATGATTTCTGCCTTTAACATGAATGTGAGTCGAGGCAGTCATTCTTATCCAAAAGTTTATTAAATTCAGTTGCTACTTAAAATATCACTTTGTAACTGAACCATAAATTTAACTCCGAAACATACACGCTTCCCTACCTACTTAGCTGATATCTATAAACAATAGGTCTCCATACTTGTTGATCACCTGTGAGAATGTAAACAAAAAGTTAGAAATGTTTGTGTAATAAAGAAATCTTGGTGTCTCTTTAGTGGCCAACTTTGGTCGCAATATCTGCATGGGATTTCTAGAATTTGTTATAAATGATTCATTAAACACAGTTGCTACACCTGTCCTCAGCGTTACATCCAAAGTCGCTATAACCACATGAATTTTGTACTAAAGTAGGCTTTAAATTCAAGGGACTTAGATTTAACGTCGCTTTAGACAAATGGTTGCTACAACCAAGGTTGTAATGAAATCCACTGTATATAATTATGAAATTAAAACCAATTTATACATTTCCAGGTAAAATTTCTTTCAAAAATTTGAAACGAGTAGCAAAGGAGCTAGGTGAAAATTTGACTGATGAGGAGCTACATGAGATGATCGATGAAGCAGATAGAGATGGAGACGGTGAAATAAATCAAGATGAATTTTTACGTATAATGAAGAAAACTAGTCTTTATTAATTTTATTTTTACTGTCATTAATTCTATGGGAACACTACAATACAAGCTTTATCTTATTTTTTTTTAGCAACAAGAGCGAAACTATTTTTATGTGCTCATTGTATTTGTATATTTAATGTGTCTAGTTTTTTAAATGTAAAGTTAATATTTTATGAATATATAATGAATAATATCTTAATTCATACCAATAATTTTCAATTACACATTTCAGATTAGAGGTATGATATAGCTCTTAAGTATAGTAAAAATTATTTTAAAAATATTATAAGAATAGTATTATTACTTGTAAACCAAAGACTACAAATGTAATTTATTAATATTCCAATTGAAATCTACCAGTATGTTAGTTTTATTTTTTGTCTTATTCTGATTGTATTAAATAGACCAGATTAAGTTTTATAGGTTTATTAATTTTTGTACTTGTATATAAGTGAATTAATTAAGGAGAATGCTCTTAATTGGTTGGATTTTAGTACGCTAATACTATATAATACGTGGAACACTCAGAAAGTTTTGCGACACAAAAAAAAAAATGTTCTATAGGTAAATATATTTTTATTACACCTTTTCAAAGTACTCTCCACCAGCCTTTATACAAAGTTTCATGCGTCTGAACCAATTTTCGAAATACTTTTTCTAGTCCGCCGCAGAGACCTCGTTTACAGCCTGCTCGAACGCTGAGAGCGCATCATCTGGCGACGAAAATTGTATCCCTTTGAGCCGATTTTTTATTTTTGGGAATAAGAAGAAGTTACACGGTGCTAGGTCAGGGCTGTAAGGAGGGTGACCCAGGAGTTTGACTGGTGTGCTGTCTAGGAACAGACTGACAGAGATACACAACAGAGAAAACTTCTGCCAAGCATTTGGTAGTATACCATTCGGCATTAATGCTTCTTTGGTTTCGTAAAGGAATTGACACCAAGTAGTTGGTCAAATTAAAAAAGCTCGCGATCTAAATCTTCCACCCGCTTCTAGGTCGCTTTACTTTGGTAGGCGTCGATTCGTTTTGAAACACTAAAACCGTCGACTAGTGCTTTGTTTCTGGATCGTATTGATAAATCCAGGATTTATCACCTGTAACGATGTCGTAAACACGCTGAGACGAATATGTTTCAAATTTGTCTACCATATCATGCCACAATTCCAACCTTGCCTGCTTCTGAACATCGGTGAGGTTGTTGTACCCAGCTTAAAACTATCCTCCGCACCAGTAGATGCACGTGTAGAATCTTGTGAAGGCTTCCTGATCCAATCTGCAGTATATACTGCAGATGCTGAATCTCTTGGTATGTAACTCGTCTATGTCTTGGATCAAATTTTTCACTGCTAGCACGTTTTCTTCCATAACAGTCGTCAATGGGCGACCACTTTTTTCATCCCCCAATGTTAGTCGATCGCGCTTAAATTCATTATACCAAAGATACACGATTGCCTTAGAAGGGCCTTCATCCATGAATGCCATTTGAAGTCTATCGTACGATTTGTCTGGTTTCAGGCGACACTTAAAATCATAAAAAATCATAGCGCGAAAAAATTTCTCGACACTAATCATTTTTTCAATGAGACACGGTAATTTTAATTAGTTCGCAAAAAATGTGGAGGGAAGTTTTGAATTTAGAACCCATTTTGACTTATAAGTAATAATATTTTTAAATAAATTATAACTGGCCAGTCTCACATACGTAACAACTTTTTCTCGCAATACTTTCTGAGTAACCCAGTATACTGCTTTAAGAAGAAAATATAAAGTTACAAGTTTTTGTGAAATTAATTTATTTTTCCAAATTTAGATTTTTTTTATTTTATTCCAAAACTTAATAATATAATTCATAAAATTCCAGACAAATTATCATATTGAAGACTAGGCAGCATAGTCTCCAACCTTAGCCTGTTCCATAACGGAACAAACATACTAAAAAATATATATAATTCAACCAAAATGTATTATGGTTTTTTTTAAAGGGCAGAAGCTTGTAAAGTCGGAATCGAATTTTATAATTATTTTTAAAGTTAATAGGGTTTACTCCTGTGTAAGCCCTACACAAATTTTATGATAATTAAAGTCAAATATTTTGTATTTAAAAAAAAACATGGATGTTCAATGTATATTACAGCTTGTGCATATTAATTTAGATTTAATATCAATAGTGTTTATTCATTAATTTTATTAGTGATTTTTCAACTTATAAGCATCTCTCAATAATCAGTAAATTAAGTGCTGTAAAAATAAATCATCATTTTATTTTTATATCTATAAGTAGTGATTTAATATAACTTATTTTTTTGTTACTAAAGGTTATCATGTTTATTGATAAAGTCATTGTCAGAAACAATACAATTTTTTATACTTACCTATATAAAAACTTACTATATTTATCTATTGGTATTATAAATAAATGCAGAGTAGTATAAAGAAATTTGTTGTATTTACTTTTTTTTTTTAATAATGAAAGTGATGCACAACATAGTATGTCTAATAGGTAATTAGGTACAAACATAAGTATAAAATCAGATTACTTAATTTGCATGTACTAAGTATAAATATTATATGTTGATGTATTTATTTTCAGATATGTTTTTCTATGCAAGGTTGTATACACTGAGTTAAATAAAGTTCATAGCATTCAATGTTAATTTTAGTTTTTGTTGTCTATAGATGTATTGCAAGAAATTATAATTTCATCCAAGATATTGAATGATAGTAATATATATACAAATTTATGAACATAATACTGATATGTATTGTAATGTAACATACCTAATTGACATTTTTAAATCAACATGTTTAATAAAACAATTACAATTTTATATAAAATATAATAAAAAAATAAATTCTGCACTTTAAAAAAATATAAAAAAAGCCTTATTTTTGATGACACACACACACATACACAATTTTACTTAAATAGAAGCAGATCTTTCTATTACATTGCCCTCTGGTTGGCCAAAATAAGCTTTCTGACACATGTTAATAAACAAGCCAGTTTCTACAACACCAGGTATCATCTTTATTGTAGTGTTTACTTTTTGCCAATCTAAACTTTGATTTGGAAATAACCAGTCGAGTATGAAGTTACCATTGTCAGTTACAACAGGTCCTGCTTTTGCAACAGCACTTCTCAACTTAATTTCACCACCAAATAGAGTAATTATTTTGTTTTTAATGGGATTATATGCCATCGGTACAACTTCAATGGGTATTCCTTTTTTGTACCTATCACCCAGTTTTACAGAGTCCTTAGTGTAGTCAGCAATAACTATAAGTTTTTTGGAACATGAGGCAACAATTTTCTCTTGAAGGAGACAACCGCCTCCACCTTTGATCAAGATCATATTGGAGTCCACTTCATCGGCGCCGTCAATGGTGACATCAATTTGTGGATTTGTTTCTAGTTCTCCCAATGTAAGTTTGTGCTTTATGATTAACTGTTTGGCTTGGAAAGAGGTTGGTATACATATTACCTTTAATTTATCAGTTTCCACTCGTTCCGCCAGGCGTTGTACGGCATACACGACAGTTGAACCACTTCCAACGCCAAAAACACAGTCATTTGTTACAAATTCATCAACAGCTTTGTATGCGGCCACTTGCTTAGCCTGTTCCAAAGACATTGTTGCTGTGTTAATACCCAATAAACGAAAGTTTAAATAGCTGTGTAACAATATTTCTTTGGTTATACTCTTCAACATTCATCAGTCGTTATAACCAGAATTATTTTTAGACTACCTACCTCGAGGATGTTAGTGAAGTGACATGAAGGATTCTAGAGGTTAACTACTCTCTATATACCTATTCTACTACTACTCTAAATATAATAAAATTTTTTACTTACTCCGACCTTATTAATTTATATGATCTTTTATGCAAATTATTTTGTAAATAAAAAAAAAAGTGAAAACATGTACCGGTACGAACAGCGTGTAAGAAAATAAGATGTTCAATAATTGTTGATTTGACCTTGACAATGACAAATAGTGACAAACAAAGCCAGGGTTGCCAGATGTATTTTTTGATTTTTTTACTCAAATATTCTTTCTCAAAATCGATATGATTTTCTTGACTTTTAGCCAATCACAAGCTTGTGTCGATTTTCTACTTTTTATCTCGTAACTACAGAGCAAATGATGAAAAAAGAAACTACTATGGTTCACGTTTATTACCTTCTGTTTTGTTACTTTTATTAGTATATTTCATTGCATTAATAACCGCTTAATGGTTTACAATATTGTAATTGTCAAAAAAGTTTATTCAAATTTCACTAACCCTATTTAATTTTTCCAAATATTTCTCTAATAATTTCAAATTTCATCCGAAATTTTAGTTTTGTGAATAGCCTTATTCGAAATTAGGGAAGCAACCCAATCTGACAATACTAAAAAAACATTACCTTACCTATTTGGGTAAAAAGTTTGTTAGTAATGCGGACCAGTCCTATTACTAGACCAGTCCTATTAGTAGACCTCCACGTGGTCTCCTCTGAAATCGTATTCATCACGATGATGAAATTTTTCCATGTATATGATATATTCTTTAGCAATATAAAGGTTGTAAGCTTCTTAGTAATAAAGAGAAATGAATCACAAGTACTCACAGTTCATTTATTTTAGATATTATTAAATCATATTTACTTATTTTAATTATTACCTATATAATATATAACTAAGTAATATAAAAGAAATACCCAACTTCTGTTAATCCATTGCACTTATTTAGCTATAGCTTCTTGAGACTTTACCATTAGCAATACTTGTGATATATATTTTTATAATGACCACGTGGTTTACTATACTTGTTCACTCTTGATATGTCAGAGAACTCCGCTTTGTTCAACGGTTGGACTAGAAGTGCCTCCCCACCTAAATAACAATCTTTTACGAGGTCTGTCCGGAAAGTTCGTATAAAAGTGTTCTGGAATGCGAGAAAGAGGAGTGGGGAGGCCAGGTAAGCGCAGGACCCCTTCCTTATGTCCCTAACAATATCAGTTCTGGTCTGACCGCCGTGCGGTGCGAACTGGCTTGTCACGCCATCTGTGAAGTTACCTCTTAACGAAACCCCGTCGGCATGGAGCCCGCTTCCGTTGAAGAGCAGCGCGTCGTAATCAAGTTTCTCTCGAAACTCGGCAAGAATGGCCGTGAAATTTTTGCCGATCTAATTCGATAAGACATCCGGGGAACCACGAACAAAAAAATCAAGAAAATCCCGCTCAAATGTCAAGACAATGTTGATTGTTTTTTTCGATGTTCGGGGGATTGTCCATCAAGAATTCGTCCCTCCAGGCCAGACAGTTGATGGAAAATTCTACGTCGATGTGCTCAGACGCCTCAAAGCTCGTGTGGCACGAGTTCGTCCAGAATTGGCGCGAGAGGGGCGTTGGATTCTTCACACGACAATGCCCCTGCCCACACCTCTCTTGTTGTCCGTGAGTTTTTGAGTAAAAATTCCATTACGGTGACCGAACACCCCCCTATTCGCCGGATTTGGCCCCGTGTGACTTCTTCTTGTTCCCAAAAACCAAATTGGTACTTCGGGGGCGGCATTTGAGGGACATAAATGAGATAAAAAAAGCTACGACGGGGCAGCTGAGAAACCTACAACCAGAGGACTTTCAAGGAGCCTTCTCACAGTGGAAACGGCGTTGGCACAAGTGCATTATGTCACAGGGGGAGTACTTTGAAGGGGATAAAATTGATTTACCTAAATAATTGTAAAATAAAATTTTTAAAAAACTTTTATACGTACTTTCCGGACAAACCTCGTATATTTACAGGGCCGAATTCGAGTGAACAAGTCAGTGAGACCACATGTTCTTACAATTTCATTACTTTTTATTTAAGCATCAAGATAATAAATAATTATAAAATCAATTAAAATATAAATTAGTGTTTTATATATATTACAAGAATAATTCAATATTTAATTAATTTAATATTTTATTATATTTAAAGTAGTTTGATTTTTATTAATAAATGTAGGTACACATTTTGACACAAGATCTTTAAGAAAATTGATATAATTTAGAATAAATATCTAACAAGCTCATTACTGGTCCCCCGCCAGCATATATTGTAAATCATTCCATTATCATCCATTAAAAACCTATTGTGTAGAGGGAAGCCGCGTTGCCAGATTGGGTAATTTTTTGCAACTGTAGTTAAAAAATTTAGCAAGAAATTTTAGAGAAATGACATTCTTGGGGAAAAGTGAAACGGACTTGGCCCATGATATTCTTCATGCATTGCCATTTCTGAAGACTAAGGTGTTATTCCTCTGTATCCTGTAAATTCAACTGAATATAATGGAAATACAAAAAAACGAATAATTGATTCGACCATAAGGCAAAGTGCTGATGTCCAGTAAATTAAAAATCGATTAATTGATTTAATGTTTTGATTTAATACTAATTTTATTTAAAAAAATATTTCTGTGAAAATTTTAATTATTTTGATTTTATCCAAAAATCTTCTTCAGGTGGCGTACGTAATTTGCGTCACAGTGTCTCGTCTCGCATTTGTCGGAACTGACAAACAGTAAGTTCAAAATATTTTCCATTACTTGTATATAAATGTATAGAATAGACATAGCTAAAATTTCAACATAAATTTTAAAAACACATTATATGTTATATAACATATTTTTCATTATTTTGTATAACTATATTTTATAACATACTTAGATCGGTATTTACATACATAGCTCTCCATTATTTGCTTGAATTATTAATTTCTTCTGACAATTTATTTAAATCTTTTAACATAGTATCTTGGTCACAAAGTAGCATTTCTATCAACGATAAATGTATGGTCAAATCTAGGTAACGCGTTTTAGTTATTGATTTTTCTTTTCTAATAATTTCATTAATATGCGGTGTGTTATAAAGTGAACGTGTACTGTTTATATCGTGATCAATATTACTGTTTAAATATCTTTGCTTTTTTTTAAATAAATCATTTTCCTTTAGTAGTTTTACGTTTCGGTAGCGTAGAGTATTGAGTTCACCAATAGTAACTTCTATACTGTTCTGCATTATATTTATTTTGTTATTCAAAAAGCGATTTTTCCGTTCAAGTTGTAAGCAGTATTCATGTTCATTATAATAATTTGCGTAGTGGTGGCCGCAACTAATAAATATTTCCTTTAATTGTTGCATTGTAGATAATTCTTTTACTCGAGAATTACGCATTTTTTGTATTTCTATGTAACCCAGATTAATAAAACTCTCGATGTTTTCTATTTTCTTTTTTAATGTTTGATTTTCTGTTTTAAACTTTTCAACGATTGCATCGGTATTTATATTTTTCTGAAGCAAAGCGTTACATTGACTTCTAGCTAAATGTATGTGCTTATTAAATGCTAAGACTTCATTTTCCTTAGCAGTTAATAATGTTTTGGCAACTACTGAAATTAATAATAATAATCTGTTTTACTAAGAGTCATTATAAGGCTGAACATAGTATCCATAATCTAATTAAGTATGTTGTGTTATGGGAAACGGGAAAACTAAAGTTTACTCAAATATGTAGAATGCAACATCGCAGTATTAGAGATTATTTTTAAGTATCTTATGTACCTTCATACAATAAAATTATTCAATCTGAACAGAGTGCAAAAGAAAGGAACCGGAGAAAGCGTAAACTAATTTTGGGACCCTGTTTTTCTGCTTAAAGTATTTATCTCGCACACAGGACAGCCATCATAATTTTCACAATTTGTAATCGATGTATTCATAATTTCTTGATATCTATTAAAATAAATTTATTAAGTAACTAGTTGATCTAGGTAATTCAGTAAACATTGTTTAGTCCTTTACCTTATTATAATTGAAACAAGATGCTTTAAATTTTTATCTTTTAAGTTAAGCAAATATTTTTTTTTATACAACTTAAAATGACAAACAAGCTGATGGCACACCTGATGGAAAGTGGTAACCGTCGCCTATAGACATGAGCAGTGTATACTGTTTCGCCCATGATACCCTCCATGCGTTGCCATTCCTGAGGACTCAGATGTTACTCCTCTGTACCCTGTAAATTCACGACATATCCCACCCTTCAAACCGAAACACAGACATGCAAACACAACTGCTTCACGATTGAAACACGAATGGGATAGAGGTACTCAAGCAATCGACTTTTGTTTAAAGTCTCTTTCTGGTAAAATAATACCTATATATTTACATAAATTACATTAAAATCGGTCAAGTGGTATCGGGAATTAGCATGACTTGGAATTTTTATATATTAAGATAGATTCTTACTGCATGCAATATTCAGACTTTCACGAAGTTTTTCCACTTGTTTCTTTTTTAATGTTAAATTTGATTTCAATGTAGTTAACTTTTTAAATATATCTTCATTACTGTCGAGGCCTGATGTTGGCGATTTCATGTGGTATCTGATAAACATATCAATTAATTTTTTTTTATACAACTTAGAATGGCAAACAGGCTGACGGTCCACCTGATGGAAAGTGGTAATAGTCACCTATAGACATGAGCAGTACCGTGGACATAACAGAGTATACTGTTTCGCCCATGATACCCCCCATGCGTGCCATTCCTGAGGACTCAGATGTTATTTCTCTGTACCCTGTAAATTCACGCTATATCCCACCCTTCCGAAATACAACCATGCAAACACAACTGCTTCACGGTTGAAAGACGAATGGGACAGAGGTAACGAAGCAATCGACTTTTGTACAAAGTCTCCCTCTGGTATCCTCTATATATAATTATTGTTTTTAAATATAATTAAATACCAATACATTCACATTCTAAACACACATTCGTATATAGATTTATTTTCTACATTTACACTTATTTACCTATATCTCGAATTGAAATAATATCGAGTGGCTACCCTGTACAGGTAAAGGTAGTCTAAAATTGTACCCCACTACTGGAGCGACGATTTAAAAAGTGTTGCAGGGAGTCTGTGAATGCCGAAGCAAACGACTTTTGTACACATTACGAAAAATTAAAAAAAAATTAACAGTGACTTACCTTTGTATTTCATGGGCTATAGCAGTTAATGCTTTCCTCATTTCGTTTTCGTTAGTTTCTTCAATATTTGTTTCAGAAAGAAAGTTCCCAGTATCTGCGTATGATAGCATATTTTAATCTTACAAAGGATTTCTACATAGAAATGTCCAAAATAGGAAAGTAAATAAAATATCGAATTTTAATTAAAAAATAAGGTGGTAAAGTTTTAACATTACAAAATAATATGGATTTTACTGGAGAACAGATTTTTGTTATAAAAAATATCTGAGGAAAATGACAAGTGAATGAATGTCTTTAGATCAAGAAATATAAAAAAGAAAAGAATAGAAAAAAGAATAGATAAAAAATAGTACACCTGTATAATTTAGATAATTTTATGCTGTACAGAGTTATTTAGCTATCTTATTATGGACCCGTATCATATATAGATTCAGATTCTGGATTTAACAGATTGCAAGGTTTTTTATGTACCACTCATATTAATGCTACTAAGCAGCTATGCTTGCATGGTATTGCTAATGTCACAGGTAATGTAATTACAGGGGAGATATGGTAGATATAACATCTAATTCCTTAGAAATAACAAGACACCACAATGATAAAACATAAAATCTTTTGAAAGTTCAGAAAAAGAAAACATATGCTTATATTATATATATATATATTTATTATATTATTATATTTTTATTATTATATTTATATTATATATACGAGGTCTGTCCGGAAAGTTCGTATAAAAGTGTTCTGGAATGCGAGAAAGATGAGTGGGGAGGCCAGGTAAGCGCAGGATATATATGCTTCAGTTCTGGTCTGACCGCCGTGCGGTGCGAACTGGCTTGTCACGCCATCTGTGAAGTTACCTCTTAACGAAACCCCGTCGGCATGGAGCCCGCTTCCGTTGAAGAGCAGCGCGTCGTAATCAAGTTTCTCTCGAAACTCGGCAAGAATGGCCGTGAAATTTTTGCCGATCTCAGAACAGTTTATGGGGATGATGCTGTGAAGGAACCAACCGTCCACAAGTGGCTAAAAAGATTCAGAGAGGGCCGAGACAATGTTGATTGTTTTTTTCGATGTTCGGGGGATTGTCCCTCCAGGCCAGACAGTTGATGGAAAATTCTACGTCGATGTGCTCAGACGCCTCAAAGCTCGTGTGGCACGAGTTCGTCCAGAATTGGCGCGAGAGGGGCGTTGGATTCTTCACCACGACAATGCCCCTGCCCACACCTCTCTTGTTGTCCGTGAGTTTTTGAGTAAAAATTCCATTACGGTGACCGAACACCCCCCCTATTCGCCGGATTTGGCCCCGTGTGACTTCTTCTTGTTCCCAAAAACCAAATTGGTACTTCGGGGGCGGCATTTGGGGGACATAATGAGATAAAAAAAGCTACGACGGGGCAGCTGAGAAACCTACAACCAGAGGACTTTCAAGGAGCCTTCTCACAGTGGAAACGGCGTTGGCACAAGTGCATTATGTCACAGGGGGAGTACTTTGAAGGGGATAAAATTGATTTACCTGAATAATTGTAAAATAAAATTTTTAAAAAACTTTTATACGTACTTTCCGGACAAACCTCGTATATATATATACACGAGTATATACATATACGTATATACGTGTATATTATAAACCAATTGCTCAATTGCTGTTCATTAATCTTGCTAAAATTAAAAATTGATAATTTTGTATGAAAATCGTTACTTCGGATTACTTTTTATAGATGGCGTTGTAGGTAATACTAAGCTCGCCGTCTAGTTTTTACTATATGCGAGCTATTTATTTATTTGTTTTTAATTAGTTAACGCCTTCACATCAAAACTAATCGTCATATCTTGACATAGTACGAATATTTATGTGTTCATTCGTGTTTACACCAGTATCATCTGGTGCCCGTCCCAGAATGTAAGCAAAGTTTCGCATTCATTGAGTCAGTGAGTACATATACGTCTTTTTAAGGGAATAATATAGAATAGCTCCCCCCGCCCCTGATTTTAAATGCGCCAATAGATGGAATAATACTGCAAAATATCTGACGGTGGTGTTTGTCTATATTTATATAAGTAGGTGTCGGTAATTTCACTATATTGTAGTAGGTGTATTACGATTAGGCATGTACTATCATTTAGTTTCATAAAAAATAACAAATTGGTGTAGTTATCTATTTTAATAATATTGACGACTGTCAAAACAGTTTTTGTTAGTTTATAATGAGCTATCACTGATAATCCGCGAACAAAATGTGTTGTTATCGCAAATTTGCGCAGTTGCAACAGAATATCTTTCACCGATATTATTTGGCAGTGAAATATAACTAAAATGTTCAACCATAAAATGAAAACGAAATTTTGCGCTGGTCTCCGTTCGTGATGAAAATCATAACGGGCGACATTTTATGGCACATCGGCTCGTCACGGCAATACGGATGTGGATTGTTTTCTGGATCTACGATCCACGGTTGGCGTTATGAGTAGACGTATATTTTGTAGCTGAGATTGAAGTTTCAGTTTGTAATATTTTTAAACGATTTAAGAAAGGACTACAAAATCTACTTGAGTCACTATATTTAAAATTAATAAAAATATTTTTATCATAATTAGGTATTTAGGAAATTCAAATAGATGGTTTCTTTTCATTATTGTCTTTACAAATAAATATTTTTCAAGAAAATAATGTTTTTTTATCTCAATGCTTTCTTATTATTTTCAAGTAATTTTTGATAGTTTATTTTATCCTACTGAGTAAACTGCAATTGTGCGAATAAAACAATTCCTTCTAGAGATAACTCCGCCTGTGCACTTTTTCATTATAATCTGATATTTATATTAAAAAAAATATATTTATATTCAAAAATATCTATAATACTAATTAGAGTACACTAATAGTCTCCCAATGAGCCTCATCGAGGTTACCAGTGACCCAAGAGTTGGTAGCTATTTTGTGCAAAAAATAATTCAAAGAGGTAATGCTGCCAGTACCTTTGGTACGCTGCCTCGACGTGATGCGTTGGAGACTATTAGTGTATTCTTACTAATATTATAAATGTTTTCGGCAATACATAGATTTTTTTTTATTATAAATATAATTGTGAGAGACTGGTGCCTGGGATAGGTATAAGAATACCTGTATTACAGGTCACCAGGGCCTTACTCCGCAGGATTACTTACTAAGTACTTGTAATATAATAAGTAAATTCAATGCAATAAATATAATTTATAGGAAGAGATAATTATTATAATTTAATCTGGAAGTTGTGTGCGTGTGTGCGCGTGCGTTTCTCTCTCTCTCTCTCTCTCTCTCTCTCTGTGTGTGTGTGTGTGTGTGCGTGTATGTATGCGTGTATGTATGCGTGTGTCTGTAGGTGTATGCGTGTCTCTCGCTGTGTGTCTTTGTGTTTGTACGCATTCTATATTTATATATAGATAAAATATATCAAAGGCTATAATTCAAAATAATAAACCCTAAGAAATTTTAATGATACCTGACATGATGAAATGTTTGTGCCTGGGTCAACAAACATACCTATAGGAAATTTTTTACTGCAGAAATATTTAATTCGCTGAAAAATACAAATAAACTCAAGAACAAAGTTGTGTAGTGTACATATCTAATATATATTATTGATGTAAATAGAATAGATGAAGCGACCGTTTCATTATTATGGTTGAGTCGAACATAGTGAATGTCGCGCGCCAGCCAATTTTCCGCCAAACGCCCCGGAGTTGCAAGCTATCGCGGTGCACGGTGTTGGTTCGCTATTTCGTTTGTTCACGAGACATCCTCTCCCTGTGGTAACTATTTCACGGTCGATTTCTGTCCACCACTAAAACAGGGATACTTTGAGCAATCTATTTTCTATTATATAGATGAAATAAGGAAAATGCTTTTTTTATTTTTGTATTTTAGTTTCTAATGACTATATTATTCGTAATAGTTTATTTGTAACAAATATGGTACATAGGTTTGTAAGTTTATTTACATTTTTCCAACGTAACAAAAACAACTTTGCATCATAATAGCCAATAGGATAACGACAAGTTGTTGTAGATATAGATATATATTATCACCATATCAGTCGTTATCTGTCTACTATTGTACATAAGCCTCCTCCATAAATTGGGGGGTTTTGCTATTAGTTGCCACGGTTGGCAGGCAGGTTGAGATGCAATTAGGTTTTGGTGATGTTTTTAAGGGACGCTGCTGCCCATCCTTTTACCTTTAAGTTACACATAATTACAGTTAACAAATAAATATATAATATATATATAACGATAAATATGGACGGTTAATGGTGACTACCGCTGCTTTAATTCCTAGGATGTTGTTAGAGACACATACTTGTACTTACGTTTCTTAACAATATATTGCATTTTTGCGTTCTTTACATATGTATTAACTATTTATGTAACATATTTATATTAACTTATTTCTTTCATCACCATCAAGTCGCCATTTTATATCTTTCTGTGTGTAAGTTTTTATGCTACAAAGTCATATTTAGCCGATATTTGTCTCGAAGTTAAAAATTTAGTTTTTAAATTAGTTCAATTGCAGTAAAACTTTGAATAAAGGTAAATATAATAAACAGTAGACATTAGCAGCTAAGGTAGGTGATAAATTTAATAAGCGTGTTCTTGTAAAGAGAACGAGTTGATGAATGAAAATGATTCACCAATATATTCTAAAAGGATCCCGATCTTCTTACTTAGCCGTTATCCGCACGGTCGGTTTATTTCAATTTCCTTCATAAAAGATGCTATTCTCGGATTTGAAGTAGATTTATCATGCTCGGATAAAGCGGGCACTTTTTGTGCTTTTCTTGTGCCTGGATCTGACCCGAGATCTGTCCACTTAATGTGAATAATGGTGTGCGATGGAAAACGAATGCGATCCCGAACACAAAAGACAACAATACGCAGCGATATCAAGATTTGATACAAGGCTTTCAGAGATTGGAATTACTCAAATTACCTACGCGCTTGTTTTTGTTTTGTGTTCTTGTCTACAAGGTACGGTATAATCATTTTTATTTTACAAAACGAACAAATTTCATCTAATAATAAATAAATAAATAAACTAAAAATTAAACAAGTTGATACATATAACAGTATCATTCCTAAGTGTTCAGGCATCATATATTGATTCTTTTTCTTTGCCACAATTTTTTTACGATGTCATAATAGTTTTGTCTAATAATAAGTAGGCTTAAGCTATAGAATAGTATACAGACCTTCCTCTATTCTTAATAATAAAGCTGCAAAATCAGACTCAAGTTATTACACACACATTTACATCATAGTTATGCGAAATGTCACTAATACCATATATTTCAGACTTGTTCAGGCTTTCAGGATGGTAAAGGCGAAAGGGCTGATCATTCACATCCTATACACAATCATGCTTACCTGTACAATAATGTAGGTACTATGTTTAATGAATAAACCAAAGCTAGTAGTAAAGTCAAAATGTAAATTTCGTGCCAGCTGTGTGCACAACATTGGAAGTAACTTTGTTCTTTTTTGAGCAATCGTATACCGTTTGAAAATCAAACGAGGATTTTCGGTAGGCACTAGCTCTAAAAATTCGAGAACATCAACATTGAATTCAAATTGTTTTAGAATCGATTCGACATCTCCTTTGTTGTCAATGTAATTTATTGCATTCATTTCAATCTCATTACTATTAATTTAATATTATAAAAGGATTATGAAATAATATATATTACCTATGATTTTTAATTGAATATATTTGTAAGAAACTAAACAATTTTCTTCAAGAATTGTATATGACTAAATTAGATCGAAATAGCACAAAAAAAAAGTTCATACAAACTACGAGGCCACTTTAATGATTTAATATATTCAAGAGATTATAGAATTATTCACATTAATAATAAGTAAGTACAACTGGTGGATTTCGGATTTTTAAACACTTTGTTTTTAATGAGTGGAAGGGATGATAAAGTGATTTTGATTTTTTCTCCTCTATTTTTTTATATACTCGAAAAACAAGAAATTCATTAATCGTAATGTCTAAAATGACATTTAATACACTTAGTCGAGAGTTGAGATCAAGTCGATATCTTAGGAATCCGAGACGTCTGGGATAATCGATCCTTGGAGCAAAAGCTCTGGATCGTAGAAATGCACTTGAAATGAAGCAAGCTACGTGCAATGTCAATCTCTAACGGCTGTTTGCTACATAGATACCTATTAAATCTTCTAACACAGGTGATACAATCTGCATTCTAATGTCTAATTTAACTATTGAGTATATATTTTCTTCTGTCTACTTATATTTTCACAATAGTGCAAGCCGTAAGCATATATTTTGTTAACTCTAATTTTTTTAAATATTATCTATATGTAATATTAATTGAAGCAGTTGTGTATAAATAATTATAAAGTAATGTTATCATCTTTCAATAATTCTTTTGTTTTTAACAATAAAATGTCTATACCAAAAATATAAAATCGAGGTTTTAACACATTCTAGTTATCATGGGTTGTGCATTTAGACTTCAGAATTTGAAATTAAAGAATATTTTCTTTTTTAATTAACAATATATTTAACTGACGAGATTACAAGAAACCCGCAGTAAATATTAATAATACTTAAAGACGAATAATGTCCGCGTCGTTGTCTTAAGTACAATACACAGTTACACTTAAACTAAGGATACTAACTTTTGTTTTACCGTGATTATATAGATTCAAATCTTATAAAAGTAACACAATAAATTCGATACTCTCAACATTTTCCCCAAAAATATTACGTCGATGTGATCGCATCGTATCGGTTTCAAGGCAATAGGAAATTGTCGCGTTGACTTGATAGGCTCAGACGTCGGCAACTGTTGCTCGTAGGTCGATCCTTTGTTATTTCAATCCTATAATATTATGGCGTCAATGTTTATGGCTGTCATCTTGTTTAGTATTACAGATGTCTTCATATAACAATTATATGACTATCTCTTTTATCTTGTTATGGTAAACGTTATATTGTGATTATTATATATTACTAGTTTAGAATGCTTGACTTTTTTGTATTTATTTAAGTAAATTAGAAAGTATAGTGTGTAGTGTGTACACGTAGATCCACTAGATAAGATACCAAATTGTTTATAATTACTTCTCTCCATCCAAAGGTTGCCTGGAAGAGATGCTCTTGTAAGGTCGCCCATTGTTTTCTCATTGTGATTATTTCTTGTAAGTTTACTATTGTAATCTTTTGGAGGAAACAATAAAGAGTATCTATCTATCTATCTATCTATCTAGATAAGTATTGGATCTACGTATATACTTAAATATATGGTAAGTAAGTACCCATTACCTTATGGAGCATATTTAAATTTTGTAAACGACATTTATTGTTATTTTCACAATTACGAGTATACCTTCACCATATACGTTCTGAGAGTTAGCGGTATGTTCGCTCTAGGACTTGAATTCGAGTGTTAATGTTGGACCCAATTGGAAATTTTGGTGAATATACGAAGAAAGATGCAATGTTATACTTCTGAACATTTTCCAGGGAGGTCTGGAAAAAAGGCGCCTGTATACTCTTAGATATGTTTGTATATAGCTGAAAGCTTTACTACTTATTTTGGGATAGACGCTAGACTGTTATAAAATATTTTAATGTAATAATTACCGGTTTAACTTACATGTTTTTTTTTTTTTTTTTATACAACTCAGAATGGCAAACAATGAGATGATGGAAAGTGGTAACCGTCGCCTATAGACATGAGCAGTACCATTTGGACATAATATACTGTTTCGCCCATTAGTTGCCATTTGAGGACTATGTTATTCCTCTGTACCCAGTAAATTCACGCCATATCCCACCCTTCAAACCGAAACACAGTTATGCAAACACAACTGCTTCACGGTTGAAACACGAATGGGACAGAGGTACCCAAGCAATCGACTTTTGTACAAAGTGTAAATAGATAGAGAAAACTGGACTAATTTCGACATCATATCGTTAGGTTTGGGATATGCAAGGCTTATTCGGCTCCCTCTTCTCTACTCTTAATATGCCTATGCTTGTGAGGCGTGGTTTATTTGAATGATAATCTATCTGATGAAAAGTGGATAAACATGAACAGTATTATGGCCGTCCATGGTATCCGTCATCCATTGTCGTTAGATGTTACGTCTCCATATTTTAAAATGTTATTACCGCAGATATGTACGTGAATGCCTATCGTTTAAATATCGATTCGTCTTCTGTTCATTTCAACGAAATTAATTTAAATAAAAAAAAAAAAAACACTTGAATTTTCCCGCGCATGATTTAAACGAGCATTTGTAACATTCATTCCATGAAAATACACGAAACAGAACCAACACTGAAGAATGTTTTTATGAAAATAGTTCCATTCAGCTATTGTAAATAATTTGACAAGGGTGAGAATGAGCTCACCCTAATTTCTAAACGTTAATGGATTAATAGACATAAGGCAAGAATGTAAAACGCGGAGAACAAAGGTCGACTTATGATATGGGTTAAATGTTAATAAATGTTAGATAATAGCAGAATTATGAGTACTTTTACAATAACAATAAATTTTTACGCAATCAGATTTGAAAGGAAAATAATATCTTGACTGTACGAATTTATAGTCTAGAAATAATTTACTATTAGAGGGGCTGTTGTTCGCCACCCTTGTGATACAAAAAAATTGTCATACTAATGTTATAGGTATAGAAATTCCTTACATTTGATTTTTAACATAGGATAGGCCTAGTTAGACTCAAAATAAGAAAAGAGTGTAAAACGGATGTTGAATAATGAAACGAGTAAAATAAACTTCCTCAGGAGGGTAATAATTTATGCGCAGCTAATATTATATTAATTAATTATACCATAATACATGAGAACATAGTCTTAGTTTCTCTAGATGTTGTTACTATTACAGTAGGATATCTATATGTCTTATAATCAATTTATAATGACAAATCATTCACTCGTAATTAATAATACGGTATGGTTCCAGCATAGAATGGTCCCCCCTTTTCCTAAAAGTGTCCTAAACTCCAGTGTCCTAAAACATCACCAAAGCCTAATTGCGGTTGCCAATCCACCTGCTAAGCGTGAAAATTACTATATTAGGGGGAGGGGGGGGCTTGGCCGTGTTTAGCAGTGGCCAGTTAACTGCAGACATGATGATTATGATGAATTATATAGTATTCATTAACAAATAAATAAGATACCTGCGACTCTGACCACTGCAGAAGTGGTCTAATTTCTAACAGATAAGAATCTTTACGATTAAACTAGAATCGAAATATTTTATTTTTAGCATGAGGGCATCAATAATAAATAGTATATATTATATGTATGTACCTAAGCAATCACCGGGGAAAATATGTAACACGTAGCAAGCGTTGGGAAAATGTTCACTGCTGAGTTAATGTTCATTGTAAAAGGAACAAATAACCTGTAATCAAACTAACGCTCGACCGCAATTTGTCTTGACCAAAGAAATATCGTGTTCCTTAACGTACGAGCTCTGTTGCATATGTGGGCAGCCATTACAACTTGACTTAACATCCGTAGACAAAGACACGGGAACACAATCAAACACAATGGCCGTTGATTAGCGCCAATTAACGTTATTTTAGCGTAGAAAATCAGGTTAATAATACTGCTATTCTTATCATTTAATGTCGGAATGAATGTGTTCGTACGAAACTTTTATCTATTACCAAATATTATGTCCAGATTACATAGAAATCTTTATTCAGTCGAATAATCTTGAATATAAATATTTATATTTCTAAGAAAAATTTATACTTTTAAATAAAATGTCCAGTTTATTTTTTTTTTACTAAAAGGAATAATTGCAAGTTTTCTGTTTATTGTGCAATTTTATTATTTATCTCTGGACTAAGAGCTTTATATCATTAGATTTCTTTTTTTAATATTGATAGACATAAAAATCAATTTTTATGAAGCAAAATTTTATTTTATTGTTTTTTAATAACATAAAATTTGTGATATCAAACTGTGTAAAATATTTTAAATTAAAAAAAAAAAAATAACCCAGAAAAAGTTTAATATGGTAGCAATTCGGGCATAAGACCTCGATGCAAATATGTAGCATAATATAAAAAATACGGACACATAAATACAATCGAATTAAAAACACTTTTTCTTATTAAAATCTGTTGAAATCAAACAATATGAATGGCAAGAAGTTGTAAAAGGGTTGCCGCCACAAATTTCTTGTAAAGTAGAGGTGGAAAGAAGTTCAATCGTACTTTAAACGAGTTAATCCCCTTTTAATAAGTGTTGATTCCCGCTTTCGTCGGTCGCTGAAGATCTCATTTCGGAGAGTTAACTTAGATTACCCACTTAATTTTTATTGCAATTTATACTTTTAAGCAAATGAAAATATCAGAATAGGTTTATTACATGACGAGATGTAATTATTAAATTTGTAATTTAGAAATGCGTTTATGCATATACAATTATTGTAGGCAATATTTTACAGGCAATATAGTCAAAAGCATAAGTCATAATGTGTTGGATTTAGACTAAGAGAAACTTCATTCCTCTAGTTCTAAAGTTTTTGTTTGATGTGCGCTTAAAAGTATTAACATTTGTGAACACTTTTAAAGTAATTTAAAATGGGAGAAGGATTTCGTAGGGTTCTAGTTTTTTTTTTCCTTGCTTTGACACATTGTGCACAGTAGTTTCTTATAACATAAAAAGGAGAAAATGGAACGAAAAGGGAGCGACTACAAATTGTGTTCATACTCCGTTACAACAGTCATTGAATCTACGAAACTTAAATTGCTCGTTGTCGGCTAGATTTAGGGATGCCAGATGCGATTTTTTATTTCTTCACAAAATTCAAATCTCTATTCGTAAAAATTTACACGATTTTAATACGTTCACCACTATCTGTGACGAAAAATTTAACACCATCATTCTACATATTTACTTTTAACGTCATTTTCCTGTCTTTAATAGCATTTTACATAAAATAAACTTATGGTCGTAGTATGAAACACTACTTTGATTATTAATATTTTTTTTAATGGATGATAATGTTGTGGTAACCCCGCCTGCGCTAGCAGTATACGCTGGCGGGGCATCAGATAATTGAAACGGCACCTCATTTAGTCCATCATGACTAATACACCTGGAATTTAGTACAATAGTTTCCAGGGGGACCACGTGAAGATCGACCTGATAAGTTATATTGTTAGCAATGGGACTGGTAGTCTGAATTACTAACAACCCTTTTTCTCTTGATTATGAATAATGTCTATTATTTAAATAATTCAAAGATACAAGAATACAAACAGTGCAATATTATTATACTAGAATATACACATAACAATATGTTACAAGCAAATTGTGTTAGCAAACCACATAAACATCTTAAGTATCTTTAAAAGTAATCTTTCAGGATAACATATAAAAAATAACGCGTTCAAGAGAGAAGGCCGAGTAAAAATTCAGGAACATCGGCGATTGAGTTAATTTTCACGGAATCGTTTTTACGGGTTTCCTCACTTGCTGTTACGGTTTATTTCACCCTATGGTATCATCTCTAGGAAATTGTTTCCGGGAATCCTTACGGAGTGTGTGAAAAAAGAAGCGGTGATGTTAGTTTGGTACGTATACGTATACCAACATCTACGTGGGTTGTAGTACGAGATATTTTTATCGTACTTACTAGTTTAAAAATTACGTGAAATAAATTTGAATAAAGAAAACATTATGCAAGGTTTGTTTGTTTGTTTATAATGAATAAATTCAAAAAGTACTTAAACAATTTTCAAAATTCTTTCACGTATAATAAGTTACATTACCAACGAGTTACATAGATTAAATATTATTTTCAAAAATTCTATGTACATGTGCGATGTCGTACTGGATCACTAGTACTGTAAAAGATTAAGTCTGCAGAAAGGGTAGTAGAAGAATGTGTCTCGGATACACCATGCCTAGTAGGTATATTTTTTAACATTTATTGCGTACATCATGACAATATGTCATAATAAGTGTGTCAGTATAGCATAAAAATTATATAAATAAAATAAAAATAACATGTTTGACTGTACAATATAATATCAGATCAGATCAGTTACATATAGTAGGACTATTATAGTTTTATCAGATACAAATTCAAATATTAAATGAGTGAGTACAGTCAAAAGCTTTAGTGCCTTGCAAGATATTTGGAAATAAATTATTAACGTACATAATAACAAAACGTTGACAGGTTTGAAGTAGGAAATAAACAGATGATTTTATTTTTTAAATTACAGCAATCTTTAGTACTTACCTATTTTTTTTTGAAAAAAATTTTAAAAACAGTTTTCATTAATCTATCATTTGTGCTTATTTTTATAAAGATAAATAATTTGCTTTTTTAAGTTGCAGCAAATATATACTTATTTTGTATGTAAATAATTTTGAAATCATCATTTGTCGCTCAAATTGTACAAACTATATAGAACAAAAGCAAACTTAAAAGTAAGCATAAAATGCAACAAAACAGTAAATGCAACAAATAAGTAAATAGCAAATAGTAGGAATCTTGAATCAATTAATATTATATTAGAGGACGATCAATGAGGGTATGGCCTTCATAATAGCAATTTATTAAATTTTGTCATCCCGACACAATATATTATTATTAATTTTTACTAATATGGGCTGAATTAGTTCTCCCTGTTTAAACTTTTGTTTCAATTTCGCTTTTGTTCTAGCCTGTACAGTTTGAGAGATAACGGCGGCGTCGAGCGGCGAGAAATCATTTCCGTAGCGTCAATCACACGTCCTGGCTAGCGGCCGGCCGACGGACTGTACCACATACCATCACTAATGAGTTAGCGAACAGTATATCACGTTTAACTCCATTTGTGGTTAATCCTTTTTTATCTAGCAATTACCATCAACAAATAACATCAGTTAAAATTTAACTTTTTAGGATAATTTAAAATTTGTTCATAAATCATCATCATTTCAGCCATTATTCTTCCACTGCTGGACATAAGCCTCCCCTATAGACTGCCATAAAGAACGGTCCTGCATTCACTGACTCCCTACAATGCATTTCAGGTCGCCACTCCATTTAGTGGGGGGGTCGTCCTACTTTGCGTTTACCCGTATGCGGTCGCCACTCAAGAACCTTTCTTCCCCATCGGTTGTCGGTTCTTCGACACTATGTGACCAGTCCATTGCCACTTCAGCTTGCTTATCCTTCATAAACACATGAATAAAAAATCATTACATAAAAGTCATCAGATGATTTTTTCGATATTGTCGATGTGGCGAATATAACACTCGTTTGCATTCTGTTGGGTACATATTTTCAGAGAGTAGAGTTTTTCAACTGTAGCGGGTGATCTAACCATATTCTTGCTGCTGAAGTAGGTGTAAGTAACTACTTTAGTGTAAGTTGTTCTGTATTTATGAATTTCTGATCTGTCTAATTAGAAATTTATAAATACAAAACAACTTTTTAAATTTAAATTTAGTGCATTACAGCAAAATTTAGTGAAGTACGATTCTATAAAATCCTATGGTGATAACTTAAAAAACTGCCTTGAGTATTGGGTATCTGTTTAATAATTTATTATTACAACAACATAATATCTAATGTGGATATACATCCTGCTTCTTTTGTATGCTGATGCATTGTTATGTTATAGGCTAGGGCTAAACGTTTTCATATTATAAATGAACTTATTCTTTCTTTGAAATAATAAAAAAGTTATAGCCAATCAACTAAGTTTAGAGCTCTTTTGATTCAAATATTTTCAAAATTTAGGTCACACTGACCTTGACTAATGACTTCACTATAATATTAATCTGTAATTTTAGTTTTGGAAATTAGTACTTCAGAATGGATCTCAAAGTAAAAAAAATTATACGTCAAATACATATTACTTATAATTAATCACTACTATTACATCGCACTAATATGACACTAAAAGATATACGAGACATACACAATAAAAAACTATAGCCATGTTAGCTAAACGATATGGTATACGATTTAATTGTATTCTAATGTGCTTTTTCCCCGTAGTCGACATCTTAAGTATGAAAAGGAGTGATATCATTATCATTTTAGATTATCGTTAAAAAAAACCATTTTATATAGAGCACGTTGAAAATCTGGCAAGCCGACTCTATCCTCGTTGTGAAGGAAGTTTTATAGGCAACACTGAAGACTGGCTGACCGCGAGTAGCGACCAAGTCGGAAACATTAAGGTTCCATCAGCGGCTACAGTTTCCGGCGAGTCTTACGGAGGCCGCCGGTCAGGCAGCTGACAAGGCTTTGCACTCAGACTTCTAGATGGAACGCAGTTTCATTCCAATATTTTTATATATCTTTTAAAAGCAAGGTATCTATGGTATATACATATATACAATCCATATCCAGATTGTCTGTAAGTCTTTTAGCGTCAAGGTCACCTTTTGTATATGCATATTCTTTATAACTACCTATCCTTGTATACATCAATTTTGTGCGCCATGAAGAGTTTATTATTATTATATATTTATATATTAAAGGCGGATGTTTATGTTGCTGTGTAAAAGATAATTTTACCTGTTATTGATTCTAAATTAAAAAAGGTATTGTGAATGAACAAATACTTATTTTATTTA